AATATTTTTTACATTTAATATGTTCTCATATAAAATATCGATTGTTTTTTTAGTTTACAATAAATCACATAACACAATTTCTCTCTTTCTCTCTCTTTCCTCCCCCCTCCCCCTCTACTTCGCTGTTGGCATTTTAATTTTAATAAAGTTATTTAAATAAAATAATCGCAATATTAATATTTATAAAATTATATTACATACAATACTTAAAAATTCTGCAACTTTAATTCGACGCTTCTTACTAATATTTTTAATAGACATACAAATGCTGCAAAATGTGTCGATCAAAATTTTAACTTAATGATATTTAATTAATTTTAAGAATTACATTTAAAAAAGATGTAAGCATAAATAGACGATAAAAAATTTAAAAAAACCTCTTACCATCAAAATGATGTTTTCAAAAGTTCGCGTCTAACATATGCTTTTTCCAATCAACGCGATGAATTTTAATATTAAAAAAATGATTTTATATTTTATTTGTCTTTCTATTATTTATCGTTTTTTACTATTTTTTTAATGATAAATGTCGAATTTATTATAGCAAAATAAAATTTGTACAACTGTTATGCAACATGAACAAAAAATTCGAAAAAAGATAGAAATCCGTTATACTAAAATAGGAGAACAATTAATATATATATATCTTTCTATAGCTCATTAATTAGAATATAAACAGAGAGCTACTATATATATGCATATAATGTTTTGTATATCTTACAGTATGGTGATTTTAATTATTTTTATTACAATTTGTGGTGCATTAATAATATTTGATAGATTTACAAGTATACTTGTGTGATAATTTACAATTCACTAAATTTTTATTTTCTTATAACTCTATACATGATATGTTTAAATATGTATAAAATAATAAAGTATGAAATGTAAAATGTATAAAATTTAAAGTTTACAAAATAATACAATTTAAAAGTAAGTACATTAAATATGATTTGTGCACTCTAAGTCGTATTTAGTTAATTATTATAAATAATTTTCCTTTGATAGAGAACGTAATGTCTATGAATAAATTATATATATGTATATATAGAGTGATATTAATAATACATAATACTATATTATATATTTAATTATTAGATACATGAAAATCTTATAATTTTATTAATTAATTTTTAATATTATTATTAATTATATATTAATATTTAATATAAATTTAAAGTGTAAGACAGGCAATAAGAACCAAATCGCGGATGACAGTGCGTTATCCTAACAAAAATTTTTTTCCGTTAGAATTAAATACCTGTGGCACAAGGCACCAAATTTTACTTGATCACGGTCATAATTTAAAATTGGAATAATCTTTACAAGAGATTTAATTCCATATATCCCCTGTTTCCCCCTAAGGAAATAAATGCGAGAGAAAAATATAGATCCGAAAGTCGCTGAATCGGGAATCGAACCCGAGATCTTTCGCTTTTTTTTGCCGGGCGACTGCTCTTCTAACTGAACTATTCAGATCCTTTCGATTCTATACTTTTCTCTGCTATATATTTATTAAATTTATAAAAATATTATATAAATATTTATCGTAATTTTTAGCACACGGCATTTAAAAGATTATATTTTTTAGCAAAAAGTGATGACAAATTTCGCCCATTTATTATATATATTGTTATGTCCGTGTCCCGCCCGTTTGACGATACGTCCCTGTATTATACGATCGTCAGAATTTTCTATTAGGATCTTCTATCAGGGTCTTCTATCAGGATCTTCTATCATCGCTATAAATATATAATATTTATATAAACAATTCTACAGAACAGGAATATCAATATCTTTTTAACGGTTTCTTACATATTATTACAAAGCATGCGAAGAATCAAAAAATACTGGATTACATATTAAAATATTTTAAAGACATAAAACCATAGTAATGTGACATATTTTATAAATATTGTGTACAAAAGTTTATTATGTGTATTATATACATTTGTTTTTTCATTTTAGACATATTAATACAACTGCAGCATTAATTATTATTATTAATAACGTATATTCTAGATATCAAATTCCGGTAAAATTTTACGTGTTTATATATGTATACAAAATGTGATAATAATGCGATATTAATATTATTTAATGTTTAAATAATTTTGATAATGCTACAAAAACGTTACATTTTAATAATGTTAAAAAAATAATACATTTTAGCATATAAACGAATACATTGAAAGATGGAGTGTCATAGGCCTATCAGACCAATTTAAAGAAATGATTAACAGAAGGAATACAGAAGATTTATTTAACAGTAATGACATAGAAAAGGTAAATTTAATAAATATTATTAAGGAAAGTGAAAAAAAAATATTGTTCTATCTTATTAACTTCTGAATACTAATTTTATATTTGTTTTGTTGATTATATAAAGAGTATATTGATTTCATTGTGCAAATCTTTATTTATAAATATTAGATCATATTGCGGAATTCTGACAAAATTTGAAACAAGCTATCAATTCGCAACAAACAAATCGGAAGACAGAAACAGCATTTTGATAAATCTTTCCGACGATGAAAAATATAAAAATTGCAGCTTTGCATGCGTGAATATATTTCATATAAATAATTTTTTTTTATTGTATGTACTATTTACTTTACTGCTTTAATTATTATTGTTTATTTAAATGTATTATTATATGTGATGCTTCTGTGTATTTACAAATCTTTATGACTGAAAGCATCAAGTTTTTGAACTATATATTATTGCCTGTGTTCACAAGAAAGTAGACCGTATAATATTACTATAAATTTTATTGTTAGATGTAAAATAAAAATATAAATAATATATATACAATATATATATATATATATATATATATATATATATATATATATATATTGAATAATAAATGCACTATCCATTTATTTTGAATTACATATCGACTAGTTTTTAAGATTTTTTGTAAATTAAACTAACATCAAATACGTTTACACACACACACACACACACACACATATATATTTATATATTATTGTATTTATATATGTATATGTTACATAAATTTAGTATTTATAAGCAGATTTATTAATACAGTAGGAAGTGACAAAAGTAAAAGTAATAGTGTCGAACTCATAAATTAAACTCAGTTTTGTTATCAAGTTTAATAGCAAATTACTATTAGTATATGGTAAATTGATAGTAAAATACTAATACAAATTTGGGAAATACAATTCAATAATTTTCATTAAAAAATAATGCAGATATAATTGTAGATGCTACAGTATATTTTATTAATGATAATTATATTGTAATTTTTGTATTTTATTATATATTTTATATTTTAATTTTAATTCTCGAATGTCTATTACGTACATAATTTTAATTTGCCGAATTTTAATTATGTATATAATTTCAATTTCTTAATTTTTGTTATATACCAGACAACACAAGCGTGTGCTTTGCACGCGTTATTGATATATTATTTTTATGTTTTATTTTACAATTGTCAAACTATTAACCTTCACGTTTTTGATGCTATTAATATATATATAACACACAATGTTAATCGAGACAACCAATCAACATCGCGGAAATGCAACAACAATATTTGCGATAATCGACCTTGCATGCCTTTTTTAAAAATGGACTAGCACACGTAACGCGCGTTATTACTGCGCGCCCCTTCTTCAATCATTACTTAAGCCAGGCTAATAAACTTATTTTTAATAAATTTTTAATAAAATTTACTTAAAAACAGGTAAAAAAATCACTTTTTTCAAAAGACGTACACTTACTTTTTTGCTTTACAGGTGAAAACTACCATATGATACGCGCTTATGGCGCGCGCAATGCGTGTGCTTCTGTTGTCTAGTGTATATAAAAATGAATATTATTTATAATGTAAACATTAAATAAATACCATATTGTACTCTAATATGTGTTACCAAAAATAATTATAATAAAAAAATAAAAATGATTAAAATGAGTATTTAATTACATCTGATATAGTAAATATATGTTAACCCATACAGCACCGATAGATTGCAAAAACATTACAACAATCTTTCACCGCAATATTGCAATATTGCAAATTCACTGCAAAATGTTGCTACATCATTGCTGTTGAATTGCAGCAATGTTAAAATGTCCGCTTTTTGGAAGATTGCAACAAAATATTACAACAATATTGCAATATGTTATGAGTTTGCAATAATGCATTGTTGTTGCAACCATAAACTAATGTTGCATATACAGGTATATAAATAAATCATTAATAAAAATACGTTGTAGTTAATTTATATATATTACAATATATAAATTATAGAATTTGGATTACATGCAATATTTCCAAAATATTAATGTCATGTTGCTACAAGTGTGCTGGAATTTTGTGCACTTATATCTCTGCAATGTCTTTATAATGTTGCATTGTAACTTGCAACATTGCAACGTTGCTGCAATATAATTGCAATAATCTGTGCTATATGGGAATATACATTAATAAAATATTATATTAAACGGTTATATTTTAATTTTATATATTATTATATATATTTCATATATTTTAATTCCCGTATATCTACTATAATACATAATTTTAATTGGCCAAATTTTAATTATATGTATAATTTTAATTCCTGAATTTTTGTTATGTACCGGAAAACACAATCGCGCGCTTCGCGAACGTTATATTGATATTTTTTAATTTTTTATTTTACAACTGTTAAACTGTGTTAACACCTTTACGATGACAGTTGCTTGATATGCTATTAATAAAATACACAATGTTAAGGATCCATCACTTATAGAAATTTATCATTAGTAACCGCCAATTTATCACTTATATATAATACATTCGAATTTCGAATGTACACATGCGCGATAAGGATAAAAATGGCGTCGTATTTTATTTACGGTTACAAGTAAAACTATTCCACGTGCCGGTGCTTCAAAGAAGAAATTGCGACTTTTCTTTGACCTCTAGCCTTCTAAATAAATTGTCTTCTGCTTCTAGTATTCATGGTGCTTTATGGATTGCACAAAAAACGCCGGCGTGGTTCTTCGTTCTAAAAAAACTCGGAATAACCTGACAAGTGTAAAATCACAGGTTATTCCATGGTTTTGGAAATTAAAGTTAAACGATGTTAATTGCATCAAACGTTTTTATTAATATAATGAGCACATGGAAGTTGATACAGCGACGGTGTTACGATTTACTCTCATATAAATACTCGTTGCTTGTCATATTAGTCGCATTTACTTGTATATTTATTGGTATAGTGCATTTCGGAGAGGTTAGAATAACTTTTATTTTATTTTTTTTATGCATGTGATGGATTTGTGCAAATTTTAAGAATTAATATTTTAAAATTTTGTTTAGTTCTTTAGTGAAAGCTATTTTGTTACTCTTCTCTTTAATGCATATTAAAGTGATATATATATTTTTTTTTCTTTTATATATACAATATATATATTTATAATTTTGTATTATTTAATTTTATCTAATTATATTTTATGTATTTTATATAATTTTATATTATATATATACCCAAGTAGCAAACTGACGTACATCATTAATGTCAAAATGACAATTTTGACATCTAATGATGTCATTTGATGTCAAAATGACACCATTTTGCATTTAATGACATCAGTTTGCTATTTGGGTGAATATATATATATATATATATATTTTTTTTTTTTAATAAATTTTAATTGCTGTTTTGTTAGGTATGGCTAACCTGGAGCAAGGAGAAGTACGAAGCAGTCTTTCATTCCTTCAACGACAATATCTTGGGGAAATCTTTCCAAAAGAAATTATGCCAACACGTTCCCATAGATGTGGTTTACACGTGGGTAAACGGTTCCGATCCAGTGTTTTTAGAAAGTCTTCAAAACACGTCCCAATTGTGGATCTCAATGCTGCAGCTTCGAGATTTAGCGATAAAGACGAATTGCGCTATTCGTTGCGATCATTAGAAATGTATGCACCCTGGGTGAGACATGTTTACATCGTGACCAATGGCCAGATACCAAGTTGGCTCGACATGGATAATCCTAGGATGACTTTAGTCAGTCACGAAGATATCTTTTTGAATAAAAGTGATTTACCAACTTTTTCTAGTCCCGCTATTGAAAGTCATATTCATAGGTGCTTGGAAATATGTATGAATCCATATTTATTGCGTAATAAAATGTGCACAGATTTGCAATAACATTTTTTTCTTTTTTCATTCTTTCAGAATACCTGGAATTTCCGATAAGTTTTTATATTTTAACGACGACGTCATGTTAGGAGCCGAGATTTGGCCAGAAGATTTTATAACTCAAGCAGGTGGACAGAAAGTGTATCTGGCATGGTGGGTCCCAGATTGCTCCGAAGTTTGTCCCTGGGCGTGGGTTGGTGATGGATCCTGCGATCATGCTTGTAATACTACATTATGCGAGTTTGATGGTAACTGAATAATTTTAATCTGTGTGATATAAATGTTAATTTTAAATAACTACAGGGTGTCCCATAGAAAACTGCTGAAACTAATCAACTGTCATTTTTTAATGCATGCAGTTATTGAGAAGACAAAAATTGTGTTGGAAAGAGGAAAGTGCAGTTTTTAATGGATATAAATAAAATGTTTGTTTACCAGTTTATTTTATTGATAAAAGTAATAAAAAAAATGCTAATAATCACATAAAATTACATAAACTTATGATAAATATTTTCAACAGTACTAGATTTAATAACATCTATTAAAAGAATCATCAACAGTAAAAATGACATGTTAGAAAAAGTTTTTACGAGTTTTCGTAAAAGAACAGAATTTTGTACAAATTCATATGGTGTGTGTGCACTTGAAAATATTTATCATTAGTTTATATATGTAATTATTAGCACTTTTTTTTATTACTTTTTTCAATAAAATAAACTGATATAGAAACATTTTATTTATATCCATTAAATATTGCAAACTGCTCTCTTTTCAACACAATTTTTGTTTTCTCAATAACTACATGCATTAAAAATGACTGCTGATTAGTTTCAACAAGTTCCTATAGAACACCCTGTATAATTCTTTAAGTTATAAATCCAAATAGCAAACTGATGTCACTTTGATATTGAATGACATTATTTGACGTCAGAGTGACGTCAGTTTACTACTTGGGTATATAACTTAGAGAAGAATTACATATATATTTAAAAAATTATTCTGATAATTATAGGTGGAGATTGTCAAACAACCACTGTTCCTATTGATAGTGAGACTATGAGAGAAAAAGGCGATTATTCATACAAATTTTTGGAAGATTCTCGAGAGAACAATATTAATGGACTAAATAATATATTGCACGATACAGATGTTGTTGATTTATCATGGAATAATATGCTACAGTCTACAGTTAAAACATTACCTTTGTACAATCTCAATACTTTTAAGTCCATTAACATATTTCAAGGTCTCAGAAACAATAGTAAGATGGAATTGAATGCACAAAGTAATACGCACATAAAATTGGACGATAAAAAAGATTATAAATCTGGAGGAGACGTCCCGCAGCCTGTGCATTCGAAATTTTTACACAGAAATCCTTTAAGCAAGTCTGCAAATCATCATATTGAACAATTAAGACGCTACCGTAATGACAAAAATCTCACACGAGATAACAGTTCCATCAAGTTTGGTAAATTAATGTATCCCAATCAATGGAAACACACTACACGAGGACTCGACACTTACGCAGAATCTTTATTGTATGTTAATAAGATATATAACGCCGTTTATGGTCTCGAACGGAGAAGAGTGCCAGCGCACATGCCACATTTAATAGATAAATCGATTGTAAATAATATGCAAGAGAAATTCAGGTCTGAATATCAGAAAACGTCTAGTCACAAAGTGAGAGATTCCGAGGACATGCAATTCGCATTTTCTTATTTCTACTTCTTATCCAGTGAAAGACGAAAAGTACCCATTGAGGAGATATTTGATATGTTTGACACTGACAAATCGCGGTAAGAAACAACATGCCACGCTTCTGATTAGCAAAATTGTGATTATTAAAATTACGAATTAATTTATTTATTATTAATTTTATTATATTTATTTATTACATTTATTATTATTATTATATTAATATATTATATATATATATATAAAATTATTTATTTCTAGAACTTGGTCGGATAGAGAGATACGGACACTTTTATCAAGATTATATCCGTTGCCATTAGATTATAATCTAGTCATGGAATTTGAAAATGCGATAACGAATTGTTCTCGCGACACAATTTCATCAGAAATTATTGATGTTCCGCCCGGAGAAAGATATCTAGATTCTACTCTCGTAAGTATTATAAATCATTTTATAGAGTAATAATTGTATGTACGATATAGCAAATAAAATTGCAATTTTTTGTTTATTTCTTTACAGCCGATAGTTTCTAAAGAGTTGATATTGAATTGCGAATCAGTATCTAGAAGAATGCAGTCAAAATTCGGCGAAGGTAGTCGGTATCCACATGAAATAGTAAAAGCTGGCAAGAATGAAATTTTTGAAATGTTAACCAGCAATGTTTCGTTAACGGTGCAATTGCTGGATGAAATTCGGAGAGATCCCAAGTATGGATATCATTTTAGATTATATATATATATATATATATATAAATTTATTATTTATTTATTTATTTAGGTATTATTTTTGGGGGTAATATAATTTTTATATATATAGTATAGAGATAGACGCTATATAGATATCTAGATACACAAGAAGAAAGAGTTTTATTATTATTCTTAGATATATATATATATAACAAATAATAATAAATGTAATATAAATATAATAACCTTTAATAATAATAATAATAATAATATATAATAATAATAATAATAAAAATAAATAAATATATAGGAGGACTTATATTGTCGTTTTCAGAAAATTATTTGCTTGAATGACGATATGGATTCCATTCGACATACCGAAAATGAAATTGTTCGTGCTTGTTGAACGATTTCTATCGTTCGTTGTATCCACTGCGAAGTACTTTTGAATTATCAGCGCAATATCGAAATCGTTTCTCTCATAAGCATGAGCTTCTCCAGTGGCGGGCAAATCGTGCAAAGCTAGAAATTTATTATTATGCCTTGTCGGATTGCTTCTTGTCCTTACATTTTATCATATATTTTATTATCATATACGTAGATTATGCAGAACTCGAGAATTATCTACATTTCTTGTGTAAAGAATTTACATTAATGGGAATGTAAAATTTGATAATGGTACACTGATATTATTGTGTATATATATATATATATATATTAATTAATATAACTCATTAAAAGATTAATAATATTTATGGGAAGAGATATTCGTTCGATAAGAACTTCATATTTGAGATTTTCCAAAATTAAATGATTATATTTCTCTGTGATATGAAATCAACATTTTTTATAATATAATACATAAAATTTTAATAAAAAGCTCAAAACTATAACAGAATGTGTTTAAAAAAAACTACTATACGTAGGAGGATGGGGTGATTAAAAATAATCTTGAAGGCGTGTTTTAATGTAAAATAGGATTTTAATGGAAACTTGTAAAAACGTGTGTTACATATCGAATTTCTAACTTGATTAATATCAACCATTCTTATAATAAACTAATCTCAATTATTGCATATAAGTATAATAAATATATCTGAAGATTGAAAACGTGCCAGTTATGTACAAACATATTTTTTTTTGTTTGTTACAATTGCATTCTCTATATTTATTATTATGAAGAATAATGTGTACGATTTTAGTTATTCATGCAAAAATGGGCAATTTGTGTGTCGGATATTTCGCGGTCCGACCATACCTTCTTGAAGCTTCGCACACTCGAGCATCCAAGTTGTTACGTTCGCGATTTGTTCAGGTGACAAACGACGTCCTATACCTGTATATTTCGATTTGATGTCGAGATAAATTTCAATAAGCTAATAGAGATTTATAAGAATGCAAAATTATACCTGGTATATTCAGACGACACGTAACTTCTCTCTCCTTTTCGGCTTCAAAAAATAAACTTTCATCGCTATTGACGTCATCTGTCCCACAGAATTTCTTAGCGTTCGTACGATCTTTATTCTTTGCGTCTTTTCTTTTATTAGCTAAAAATTCATCCTCCTTTTCTTCATTGGTAAGCTCTCTTTCGGACGAACTATTCGCCATTGGTTCCGTCGACAAATCAGCTACAAAAAAAAGAATAGATAAATTTGATAAGATGAATAGATAAATTATAATGAAATAAAAATATATATTACTAAAAAAATAGGGAATTTTTTTTGTCCTAAAAATTAAAAAAAATGTTTTATCTTTTTAGTCTGAAAATACAAGTTTAGTTTTAAAATCATGTAACTCGATAAAAAAATAGAAAAACGAAAAAAAAAAACGTTTTAACAAAATGTTGTAATAATAGAACTTGAGTTAAATTTTTCAAAAATACGTAATTTTAAGAAACAAAACAATATGTTCTTTTATTGCAAAGAATATATTAAGTTGAAGAAAAGAACTTCAAGCTTCAAAATACTTTTTTAATTTTTTGTGCTGATTTTACGTCAAATTTTAGTTTGAAAATAGATAGGTATCATGATTTTTAAATATAAAAAGTGTTCATTTTTTTAATAGTGTGGAAGAGATTGTAGCCAATAATTTCATACTCTTCGATGAGACGATCTCATCCTTAGACATTAATTCTGAATCCAAATTTACGTCTGCGTCAGTATCTTGACTATTTATGGAACAGGTGTGATCGACAGAATTCACAGAATTGACTTTACATGCAACACGTTCTGTCGCATCTCGATCGCTTGTATTTTTTTCACTACCATCGCAAACAAGTCCTGCTAAGTATCTAATCAATAAAAACAAAAAGATTCTGAATACGTCGGTCAAAAGAGACTAATAAGAACCAAACGCGAGTAAAAAATTCCTTATAATTTTGGGTATTAGTTATTTTGGTAGATATTTATATATTTTATTCTAATTTTTGCATTTCTATTTCTCTTTGCAATTTTTAAATTGGACCAAAACTTCAATATTAAATTAACAAATAATGCCTAAAATTATTAGAAATTGTTTACTCGTGTTTCGGCTCTTATCAGCTCCTTTTTATTTTATATTAAATATATAGTAAATATTAAATTTTTATCATATATTAAATATTTAATATTAAACATAAATTCGTTTTGAACATTATTCAAATAAAATCGTATAAAAAATTAATAGCTAGAACCAGAAACAAAGTTGTAACAATAAATTCTTACTCGTATATCTCCATAAATAAATTGAACGGGATCATTGCGGATCCTCCGTCTGGTTCGTGAGTCAACAATTGACAAATCATAATCATTGTCTCGGTAAGATTAGCTCCGAGAAGGCCCACCGCTATGGCCAGAAACTTTTTCACTTCACATACATCTTGAAATTTTCCGATCGTTATGATCGCATCGAAATCCTTGCGATCCAAACAAAGACAATCCCAACGATGCGAAACTATCTCAATTGGTAGCGTTTTGTTGTAATCTGAAAGAATCAAAATTAGTATCAGTGTCCCAAAATTTTATGATAGCGAAAATATATCGAGGCATCAATAACTAGTTTACAAAAGAATTTTTTTAATTATTTTAAACCTAATAAGGTGTTTCTGATAGCTTTTTAAAAGCTTCACCAGCACACGTTAGGTTTTCAAAATAATTAAGATTTAATATTTAAAAAAATGGCTTTTTTACTATACTATTTAAGATATTTTTTGTAAAAAAAACGTTATATGGAAATTCTGATCAAATGTAATGAATGAATTGTTCACCTATAAAATGCATTTTTTAATTTCGATATGTTACTTTTTAGTCATATTAGGAAGGATTCAATAAGCAAAAATTCCGGTTATGATAATGAAATTATATAATTGTATTCAAATAAATGTATATTTAGGGTGTCTCTCTCTTTAATATCTTTATCTACCTTGAATTTTCAAACAAATGCATTTTCGAAAAAATGTTTCAGATAAAAGGATTGTTTGATCTAAAGAGGAACAAATAAAAAATGGTAAAATCAATTTTGGAAAAAAAATGTTTTCTAAAAACATTTTTCTCAGGAGCATCGCCATATAAAAAAACGCAGCTTCCCATCTTTAATCTTTCATAATATGATTAAAAAGATGTTAAAATTTAAAAAAAAATGCATTTTATAGGGAATGAACAATTTTATACATTTATGATATTTGATCATTAGACTTTCCAGATAATCTTCCGTTAATCTTTTTTACAAAAAATCTCAAATATTGCCAAGAAAAGCCATTTTTATATAAATTTTTTACAGCCATGTTTTAAACCTCAATTATTTATTATACTTATTTTGAAAATCTGACGTATTAATGAAATTTGGTTTGCGGTATCATATTCAGCACTCAAAAATTTATAAGAAATATTTATTATAGATAAAATAAATAATTCTCATTTCTCTTTATTTCTTCAATAAAGATCTTGCTTTTTTACATATTTTAATAGTCATTGTCACAAATCGAAATTGAATAACAAGTCAGAAAAAATTGACTGATTTTAAATTTTGGAATTATAAACAATTAAAAAAGAAGAACTTTTTACAATAAATTAAACTAAAAGTAAAAATTTTTTTATTGATTACTATATATATATATATATATGTGTGTTTTATTGAAAAAGAAAATTTTCAAAAATAATTTTGCGTGCGACAGAGATATCCTAAGTAGCAATAAACTGACGTCATTAAACGTCAAAATGACACCATTTTGTAACTCAAAGGAAAAAAATTCGGTGATTTTAAGATATTCTATATATGAAATTATCTATATAGACATGCACGCTTCGCGTGCGAAACTCTCATTCAAGCTCGTACTTCCAAATTGTCGGAGCAATACTCGGAGAAATCCCAAGGTTAAACCGGAAGCCGTGCTCGGCGGCGGATACTCGAGTCGCGACTTCACCGGCGGCTCCTCGCCGTCAGCCAGTGCCCGGAAGTACGAGCCGGACCACTTGATGAGATCGTGAGGCTGGGTGCGTATCGCCGCCTTGCAAAATTGCTTCAGGATCATCGGCAACTTGGCCGGCACCGTGATTTCACGTCCGAATAGCGGCTGCTCGACGAAGGACATCGCTTTTTGTTACGCGATATAACACGTTTTGTACGAACTCGGTTATTGTTGTGCCACCTGCGATACTCTCGTCGTCCAGGAAACGTCGATATATAACAAAAGTGCAAACTCAGGGTATCCTGTATATGATATGGTATAAAACCAATTAAGTAGCCAGTGTTTGCTGTTATTTAAATAAAATTATATAGATGATATTTATCTAGATGAAATTTTGACGTCATCTTATCTTATATAAATAATACAATGATGTTTTATCTATAGCTGCATTTTAGATTAAAAAAGTGTTATCTTTATTAAATTATGTAGAATAATGTTCAGATAATTTGGTTTAGAGTCATATAGCACATAAAGATACTTAAGTATATATTAAAGCTTAAGCAGCAAGCGATAATTTATAAATAAGAATATGCATGTATTTTTATATATCTTTTATATTTTTTTTTATATAATTGTGTTTACATAACCGGTCTAAAAAATAATATTATCTGGAAATTATCTAGATAGTTTGCCATATTATTTTATATTTTATTTAGATTTTTATTTAAAACAAAATCATCTTCATCTTATTTAAGATAAATTTACATATATATATATATATATATATATATATATATATATATATCTTTATGTAGCTATAATGTTAAAATCATCTAAGCATAACACTCTAAGTAATAAACTGACGCCATTAAACGCCAAATTAAGTGACGTATACTTAGGGAAAAATAGAACACAATAGACATTATGAAGGAAAATAGGTAAAAAGTATAAAAATATTTTTGAGCAATAAAATTGACTTTTAAAATTGAAAAATTGATAACATTTTACTTTTGAAATTTGAATATAAAATTAATGATTCATCTATATGATAAAAAAACATATTTAATTTATCTTGCGACACACAATATAAGTATTATAAATATGTAAAAAAAACAAAATTTTCTTATTGAAGAAATAAAGAAGAAATGAGAATTTTTTAATATAATAAATGCGAAATAAAAAGATTAATTTCAAAAATAGAAAAATAATTTGGAAAAATAAGATTCTTTCAAGAAACAAAATATATATGTTATACTAACTTGTATTTTAACCATTTGACACATAATGTATTTTGTAAGCCTAAATTTCCGACACATCAAATGTACTTGACATTTTATAGACTATCTTGTTTGACGTTGTTATATGAATACTTTTTTAACCGATCTATTATAAACACTCAATGTATATATATTATATTTATATGTATTTATCCTTTTATTGATGCTGAAGAGGGTCATAAAGTTGACCGAAACGTACGAAGAATAATTAGAGTTTATATTAGATATATTTACGTCAGAAATAATATGTAGAGACTTAATCGATTAAAGTTTAAATTATTGCTCTTATTTGCCATTAATTTTTGTTCATGTCATTATTGTATATATGTTATAATTATATATTATAAGATAAATTTTTTCTAACTTGTTCAAATTTTTCTAAATAATGTGAAATTAATCTTTTAATTATTTTCCAATTATTTATTTTATTATTATTCCTATATATATACAATAACAATAATAATTATCCAAAATAAATATCATAAAGAAAGATATATATATTTATATAATATTATATATACATATATCCCACAGGTAGCAATAAGTATACGTCATTTTAACGTTTAATGACGTCATAGTTGCTTTTATTGCTACTTTTGGGATGTATATATATATATATATATATATATATATATATATATATATATTATATATATATATATATATATACCATATATGGCTTTTTCCCAAATTATGAATTTGATAACACAAAGTTATTGGAGATCATTTAAACTTAAAAAATGTAAATATTTTATTAATTTTCAAAATTTTAACACATATATATATATTAATGATCATATATAAAAACACTATTATCAAAATATATTTATAAAAAACTTGTTTCTTCTCATATAAGTATATATAATGTATATAATCGCGTGTAAAATTAATTTTATTAATTTATTTAAAATAAATATTATTATATATATACATATTAATTTATTTAAAATAAATATTATATATATATATAATTTGTTTGAATAATTTGCATGAATTTCGAATTGAATGTTTTATAAAGTCCCTATAAATATTCTAGGGACTTCCCATTTACTCAACCAATCAGAACGCTCGAGCCCGAACCGTCCGTCGCGCCAATGCGACACCCGCTTGAACGTCACGATTCCATGAGCACAGTGACCCTAGAGTTTTGGAGGGATAAACGCAACATGGCGAATGGCGAGTTACGGCGGCGTTTGATGCTGTAGACGCGGTGCGCGTCGCTAACGACCCCGTGACAGGTCATCGAGGTGGATCATCGTCATCCCCGAACACGTACAACGAAAATATCTCTGGTGCTCCGGATTCCGGAGGTTCGTATTTCATCAAAGTATAAGAGTCCGTATAAGAATCTCGAGATGTCGAAACCGGACGAGAACGCGGACACCGGTGACACCGGGGACAACTCGAACGGCTCCTCGGCGGAAACGACGTCATCGAGAGGCGGGGATTTCGAGACGAAGCTTGAGACTGACCGCAGCAAGCGTTTCGACTACCTGCTGAAGCAGACCGAGATCTTTTCCCACTTCATGACCAACAACCAGAAGGATAAGGCCGGCAGTCCGCTGAAGATCAAGGCCGGCAGGCCCAGGAAGCAGCAGCCGGAGAACCAGCCCAAGGCCGACTCCGGCGATCACAGGCACCGGAAGACCGAGCAGGAGGAAGATGAAGAGCTTCTAGCAGAGAGCAACGCCAATGTGGCACCACAACTCGCTTCGAGTCGTCCCCACATTATATAAAGTCTGGTGAACTGCGAGACTATCAGATACGAGGTCTGAATTGGATGATCTCGCTCTACGAACACGGGATCAACGGGATTCTGGCGGACGAGATGGGTCTGGGCAAGACTCTGCAGACCATCTCGCTGCTAGGGTACATGAAACACTTCCGCAACATTCCTGGACCTCACATTGTCATTGTTCCCAAGTCTACGCTGGCCAATTGGATGAACGAGTTCAAGAAGTGGTGCCCCAGTCTCAGAGCGGTCTGTCTTATTGGGGACGCAGAGACCAGGAACACCTTTATTAGAGACGTGATGATGCCTGGTGAGTGGGACGTCTGCGTGACGTCCTACGAGATGGTCATCAAAGAGAAGTCGGTGTTCAAGAAGTTTAACTGGCGGTACATGGTGATAGACGAGGCCCACAGGATAAAGAACGAGAAGTCGAAGCTGTCGGAGATTCTCAGAGAGTTTAAAACCACGAATCGTCTTCTGTTGACAGGCACCCCGCTGCAAAACAATCTTCATGAACTCTGGTCCCTGTTAAACTTCCTTCTGCCGGATGTATTCAATAGTTCCGACGATTTCGACTCATGGTTCAATACTAATAGTTTTCTAGGGGACAATTCGCTGGTGGAGAGGCTACACGCGGTCCTGAGACCGTTTCTTCTCCGGCGTCTCAAGTCCGAGGTGGAGAAGGGACTGAAACCCAAGAAGGAGATCAAGGTGTACATCGGTCTAAGTAAGATGCAACGGGAGTGGTATACCAAAGTACTGATGAAGGACATAGACATCGTGAACGGGGCCGGGAAGATCGAGAAGATGCGGCTGCAGAACATCCTGATGCAGCTGCGCAAGTGCTGCAACCATCCGTACTTGTTCGACGGTGCGGAACCCGGACCACCGTACACCACCGACGAGCACCTTGTGTACAACTGCGGAAAGATGGTGATACTCGACAAGCTGCTGCCCAAGCTGCAGCAGCAGGAGTCCCGGGTTCTGATCTTCAGCCAAATGACGAGGATGCTCGACATCCTGGAGGACTACTGTCACTGGCGGGCCTTCCAGTACTGCCGGCTGGACGGCAACACCGCGCACGAGGATCGGCAGCGGCAGATCAACGAGTACAACGCGCCCGGTAGCGAGAAATTCATCTTCATGCTGTCGACCCGCGCCGGCGGTCTTGGCATCAACTTGGCAACCGCCGACGTGGTCATCATCTACGACTCCGATTGGAATCCGCAGATGGATCTCCAAGCGATGGACCGGGCGCATCGTATAGGCCAGCAGAAGCAGGTCCGGGTCTTCAGATTCATCACGGAGAACACTGTAGAGGAGAAGATCGTCGAGCGAGCCGAGGTGAAGCTGCGCCTGGACAAGCTCGTAATCCAGCAGGGACGGCTGGTGGACGCGAAGCAGACGGCCTTGAACAAGGACGAAATGCTGAACATGATCAGACACGGGGCGAACGAGGTGTTCGCGTCCAAGGACAGCGCCATCACCGACGAGGACATCGACACGATCTTGCAAAAGGGCGAGGCGAAGACGGAGGAGATGAAGCAGAAGCTGGAGAGCCTCGGTGAGTCCTCGCTGAGGAACTTCACCGTCGACGCGCCCACGGATTCCGTCTACCAGTTCGAGGGCGAGGACTATCGCGAGAAGCAGAAGATCCTCGGGATCGGCAATTGGATAGAGCCGCCCAAGCGTGAGCGGAAAGCCAATTACGCCGTGGACGCCTACTTCAGGGAGGCCCTGCGGGTGTCTGAGCCTAAAGCGCCGAAAGCTCCGAGACCGCCGAAGCAGCCGATCGTCCAGGACTTTCAGTTCTTCCCGCCGCGGCTGTTCGAGCTGCTCGACCAGGAGATCTATTATTTCAGGCAGACGGTTGGCTACAAGGTGCCGAAGAATCTGGAGCTGGGCTCGGACGCCGCCCGGATCCAGAAAGAGGAACAGCGGAAGATCGACGACGCCCAGCCGTTGACCGACGAGGAGATCGCCGAGAAAGAGAAGCTGCTTCTTCAGGGTTTCACCAACTGGACCAAGCGGGACTTCAATCAGTTCATCAAGGCGAACGAGAAATACGGGCGCGACGACATCGAGAACATCGCGAAGGAGGTCGAGGGGAAGACCCCGGAGGAGGTGATGGAGTACTCGGCCGTGTTCTGGGAGCGTTGCCACGAGCTTCAGGATATAGATCGCGTGATGGCGCAGATCGAGCGAGGCGAGGCGAAGATCCAGAGACGCGCTGGGATCAAGAAGGCCCTGGACGCGAAGATGGCGAGATACCGGGCGCCCTTCCACCAGCTGAGGATAGCCTACGGCACGAACAAGGGTAAGAATTATACCGAGGAGGAGGACCGGTTTCTCGTCTGCATGCTGCACAAGCTTGGCTTCGACAAGGAGAACGTCTACGAGGAGCTGCGTGCTACGGTCAGGTCGGCGCCGCAATTCCGCTTCGACTGGTTCGTCAAGTCGCGTACCGCCCTGGAGTTGCAACGTCGCTGCAACACCCTGATCACTCTGATAGAGCGCGAGAATCAGGAGCTGGAGGAGCGCGAGCGGCAGGAGAGAAGGAAGAAGGGTAGCAGCATAGGAGCCAAACCGACCTCGAAGCGGAAGGAGAATCTGCCGGCGCCCCAGGATAAGCCGCGGAAGAAGAAGAAGTAAGAGAAGTGATGATGAAGAAGAAAAAGGTCTCATCCAGTGTCCGCGACGAGATATTGTCCCCCAATAGTACAACATATCTTAAAGATGTTCAGAGGATATTCAAAGGATATCCAGAGGACATTCGAACATCCTCAGGATGTTCTCTGAACATCTTCGGAATATGTGCTGTTAGAGGGTCCTCTCTATCTCTCTTGCAACTTTTTTTCTTATGCTGCGATTGAGAATTACGGACCACCAGGTGTATTCCTCAGACACTTTTTCTATATATTTACATATCTATAAGTTTTGACAGTGAACTCTACGACGCCTATCTCATATATCTTCATCACTGTAATAGGACAATACATTTTTAAAGCTCCTGCCGCCTCGCCGACCATGCTTGAATTGTGACGTCAGAGTTTCGAAGTATTTTAAAAGTGTGCTAAAGCTGTCTGAAGTGTTTCATCGAAATATCTTTTCATTTCAGAATTTTTAGCGTGTCCCAGGTAGAAGACCGACGTCATTAAACGTCAAAATAACGTCATTTTGACGTTTAATGACATCAGTTTGCTACTTGAAGCGCTTTTTTCTCATGTAACCATTATACGTTATTTTAACGTTTAATAACGTCTTTAAACATCAAAATGACGTATGTTTGTTACCTGGAGAGAAAGACGTTTTGAGATTATAATGACATAATTTTGTGTAGATGGCATCACTTTGCTACCTAGGTCGCTTCTGATGTCACAATCTAACATGGTCGTGGCGATGATCCAAGAGCGCTCCATCAAATCGTTCGACATTTATATCGTAATTAATTTTCAAAATACACTCGCGTGAGAGTTCAAAACCAGATTTTTATGAATGCTGCGAATTTAGCTTCATTACGATATTTTTATTTGAATATATAGTTTCATTGCAAAATGGATTTCCGCAGTAAATTAGAAAAGAATTGAAAAAGTATATCGTGAATGTTTTTCATATATCGCGTCATTATGCCGAAATATAAGAGATGTATTATTTATTCTTTTTTTTCGGATATGTTAAGCTCTGTAGAAGAGTCATTAATAAAATCCTTTTCTTAAACAAAGAGGTCTTGTCAATTCGAATTTTGCATTAATTTGTAGCATTTTATATCAACTCGCACAAACTATATCATACCTAGATATTATAATAATATGTATTGCCATGAAATTGTAACATGGCAATCATTAAATGATCTTAACGAGTATTATAGTATAATTATGGTAACTGATATATTTTATATCTACTGATTTATTTTAGTTGAATATTATTTTATAATATGTGTTCTTCAGGGAAAGTATTTTTGAATATTATTTTTAGATGCTATTATGTATTATCATTAATGAACAGTTATTATTTCAGAATTGGAGCTCTACGATCCTTTTGAATCACATTTCCAAGTAAATGTATACACACACCTGGATAAAATTTTACATCTAAGTTTACAAATATATATGCACACACACATACACACACATACATGAACAAGAAATAATTTGAAATATTTAATAATAAATAAGTTATGAATGAAAAGAGGGATATTTTAACTTTAGTTATATTACGCATACACACATGTCACTCTTATGAGACACAATATTTATTAATCGCTTCACTTGGATCATTCACAATTACTCCGAGGGAAATACAATGTCTTTATATTTGAGTTGTATACATGGGTCGAATGCTCTAGATCAATTTTTGAAAATATATATTCATCGCACACACATACACACATACATAAAAGCTGAGCAACAAGCATAATGCTCCGCAAACTTGATTGATTTCTTGATTGCAAAAATGTATTGCGAAGAATATGTTGTGTAAGTAGTAAAACCATTAATATTTAATAATTTTCTCATATTTATTAATAAATGAAAGAAATAGTACGATGAGAATATCTTATTTAATTAGTTAGTTTTTTTTTAAATGAAGGAAGAGGTAGCAACGAATTGCTGATAGATTTATATTGTTTTTCGTTAACAAATAATGTGGAAAAATAATTTTAAGTTGATTAACAGATCGGGTGTATGTATGAAGAAATTGATTATAAATTTTCTTTTCTTTGCACACAATACAGATCGAAAAATATGTCGCACATTGTGTAAAAGAGTGAATTGTTCTGATATCGTTCATTTGTTTTTTTTAACCGTCCTTAAGGCCCCAAAATTCTATTCATCGTTACAGGATATAACATCCTAATTTTACACTTTATATATTTTTCATAATTTTTTTGCCTTCCTCTTTTTCGATCAGAAAGTCATTAAGAATAAAAGTATTGCCGAAAATTTTACATAGCTTTTATACATATTGTATTGTAATCACTGGTAATCAATTGGCAAAAAGAAATAATTAATCTTATAAACATTATTAATTGTCTAGGCATGTGATTATATATATATATATATATATATATATATATATATATATATATATATATATATATATATATATATATATATATATATATATACAGGGTGTCCGGTAACTAACGGACCAATGATTAAGGGCGGATTCTCTGGCCAATTTGGAGACGATTTTTTCTTAGCAAAAATGTTGAGAAGTCAATAATTTTCGAGTTATAAGCGATTGAAAAAATGAGTTTTTTGAAAACTAAACGTTTTGGAGTTAAAAGTCTAACATAATTACATTCTTCAGTTAATTTCAGGTAGAGTTTACTATAATAAAATTTTAATTTAAGGCTTAGTTATAAAGATACATAATGACAAATATTGGAAAGTTGTAAAAATGATGACCTTTTTCGATATTTTCGCTGAGGAAAAATCGTTCCTAAATTGACCAAAGAATCCATTTGTAATCGTTGGTCCGTTAGTTACCGGACACCCTGTATGTATATGTATATATATATATATATATATATAATATATATGGTGTTAAAAAAAAGGTAAAATATTTTAAGGGGATTTAGTATGCCTAAAAACAAGTCGAAGTCTTAATAAACATGAGTCCGCAAATAAACCGTTTTTGAAATATTTTTAATTTGATTTTTTTTATAATTTTTATTTTTTGTTTAAAAATTTTATTTTTATTATAATTTATGCAGAAAAATAAGTTGGTATTTTACCTTATCTTAGAGAAGATGCTAAAAATGACCATATCTATGCAGACTCTGCATTTTCGTAAAAAGCGGACTTATCTAAAAAAGTTTATTTGCGGAATCATGTTTATTAAGATTTTTCGACTTGTTTTAGGCATACTAAATCCTTTTAAAATATTTTACCCTTTTTTAATACCCTATATATATATATATATATATATATATTTTTTTTTTTTTAAGACATACAATTATAGTTACATTTTACTTTCACACATCAAAAATTCACATTTAACAAGTGAAAAATTAATAACCAATAAAGTGCTTATTTTTATGTTACATTTAAGGGCATACGGAGAATTCGCTTAAAACTAAAATAATCCACTTCATATATTGTTTATGTCATCAATCTTATTTTTCTTATTTACTAAATTCCTGAAACAATTCGATCGAATTATTTCTGGAATCTATAAATCGATGATGGAATACATTTAATTTTCAGCAAATATTTATGTATATATTCACAATGTGAGTACAATAATTAGTAATAGTATTATAGAAATATGTAATCTATTATGGCAAGAAAATCAACCTATTGCAAGATATACATTGTATTTATATTGCATTCGAGAAATAAATTCAATTGATAAAAAGATTGATGATTTTACGTAATAATAATATTTGAAACACAATATAGAAAAGAAACATTGCAAAAAGTTTCTTCATTTATACAGGGTGTCTCATAGGAAATTGCTAATCAGCTGTCATTTTTAATGCATGCAGTTATTGAGAAAACAAAAATTGTGCTGGAAAAAGGAAAGTCTACAGTTTTTATTGGATATAAATAAAATGTTTGTAATTAATTGTTGATCGCCAGTGATAAAATTTTAACAAATAATAAGATGCAATTTAATTCGACCAAAAACTGGCTATTCATTTATTGAAAATAAGTACACACTACGTTTCGACCCACATTGTGGTCCTTTTCAAGTGCTAGAATACAAAAATACATAATTTGGCAAGCGAAATTAATATTACATTAACACTAAATTTGATCTGTAATACATACTTAGTGCTACTGTAGTGTAGCTAACAGATTGTCGATATGACAGGACAACTTTCATGTTTCTATTTTTAATTAATGTAATTGCTGAATATAAGAACAAGTATATATTACAGATCAAATTTAGTGTTAATGTAATGTTAATTTCGCTTGCCAAATTATGTATTTTTGTATTCTAGCACTTGAAAAGGACCATAATGTGGGTCGAAACGTAGTGTGTACTTATTTTCAATAAATGAATAGCCAGTTTTTGGTTGAATTAAATTGCATCTTATTATTTGTTAAAAAGTTTGTATACCAGTTTATTTTATTGAGTACTTATTTCATTTTTTTTCAATAAAATAAACTGGTATACAAACATTTTATTTATATCCATTAAAAATTGCAGACTCTTCGATACAATTTTTTGTTTTCTCAATAACTGCATTAAAAAATAACAGCTGATTAATTTCAGCAATTTCTTATGGGACACCCTGTATAATTATTAAATTATATTATAAATTAAAAATTCGCTTCTTTTTGAGCTTGTAAAGAGTATACAATGACTACAATTATTCATAATATTAAGGCAACAGAAAACAAAATAAGTTTAACGTAGAATGAACAGATACTTTGGTTTGAATCGTGTTTTTTCACCGGTCAGCGCTTTTGGAAGTAATTACAATCTCACTTTTCTACGCATACATTGTCAAGATATGAATTCTGAAATAAGTATCGAGAGAGAGAGAGACAGAGAGAGAGTTTACATTATTCTATACATGACTTTCTAACGCTTTAATGATTACGTTTATGACTACATTTGAAGTCTGCGACAGCAGCACAATAATAGAGTAATAATACTGGCGAATATTATGGCGCAATTTAAGCAGACTTTTTATCCTGCCTAAAAAGTGAATATTTCTTCGCCTTCTCAACTAAATACGTACAGTATAATATATATACGTACAATATATTATTTCGAAATCTACAATTTCGTAATTATTTTGCAATATTATAATTAGCATTTGTGTATGTTTAATTCATTTGACGTAGGATGTATTATGTGGTTGCTTACATCCGCACTTGCCAAATAATTTTTACAATTTTATATCTTTCCGATTTTTGATTTTTCGATAAACAATTATAATAATTATTCGTGCACTTTTGTTCGTCGGTAATTCTTTACATGATTAAGATAATATTGACTTACTAAATTGTGCTGAACAATTATTTCTGAATTTCTGAGTAAACGTGCGGATAAAAATTCTTGCTTTTTATCGTCTAATATATAATACATTTTACTATAATGCAGTTGAAAAAGGATTAATTTGTTACATGACATGAACATTTTGCTATTTGACTAAATACATTTCAGGTATATTTTCATAAATCACTTTTCACTCGCTAATCATACTTTGCTAGTAATGCAGGCATAAAATAACATTTTTCACAAAATTTACAATACACGTAAAGCATTTCAAGTATATAAAATATTAAAAGCTCCTTTCATATACATTTACAAAACGCTAATATAATTAAATAATTCTATTTAACACTATATATACAAAATAGTCCAGCAGAAACAGAATATCTGAATAATCTCTCGAGATTAGAAGATACGAAAAAATCAATTTAAATTGTTTCGCATACGTTTTTATATTTATAATATTTAACTTAAATTAGATAAAATAATAAAGTTTTTTAAAGAATTTTTTTGAGATTTTATTTTTGAGAAAAATAACTTAAAAATTTATAACTTATATGCTTTTTTTGTAATTAATACTTTTTAACAATCTTGTTGATATCGTATTCGTCTTGACAACTCTGCTATTAAAATGTATATAAAAAAATATATACTCTATGAAAAAATAAATTATTCTTGATATATATATATATATATATATATATATATATTTTTATATATATATTAGATATATATTTTTTATATCATTTCTCCAATAATTTAAATTATTTTAAATTATGTTATTAGAAATAAAATGTACTTTTTTATTTATGTATTAATAATAATCATTGTCGAGATTGATTCAACAACTTTTTTGGATACATTTTGTCCTTGAGAAAAAAAAAATTTCTACGTCACATTTGTTTCTTAAACTTTTATCAATTATTCTCTTTTCATATCTTCAAATTTAAGAGAATTATGCAGATTAATACTGTTTGTAGTGAACAACTTTGTATGATTTGAAGAGTATTCTTATATTTGTATAAAATAAATAAACTTGAAAAATATAACATGATTTCTATCAGAGTAGAATAAGAGGAATGGATATTAAGTCAAGTGCCGAGTTTACAATAGCCCACTTACTTAAATAATAAAATGTAGTTGAGAGAGACGATTGTTTTTTTTTACATAACAACTTATAAATAATTATTCTCTAAATCAGGCATATATCTCTTTCACGAAACGTCTAAATCTTAATAATACATATACATGAAGTTAATGAGTCAAATAAATATTTCATTTTGCAAAAATTATTCGATTGAAAAACTCTGAGAAGTGCGTAAATAAAAATACATTTTACGTTGAAATTAAAATTATTCCTTTTGCAAGTCTGATGAATTATATCGTCTTCGATACCAGTAGTAATATACTAATGTATCTGCATAATTGCATAATATTATAATACCCCATTATGGATATGAATACCTTAATTTAACGGCCATTGCACGCTCGATTGAAAAAAAATATGATCTATACATAGAAATCGGACGATTAATCGCGAATCAGTTCGAACAAATAACGTAAAAAAAAACTAGTACTTATAGTCATATATATATATATATATGTATATATATATACAGTGATGGCAAGAAGTTCCATAATATCTTGGAAAATAATGACTATGGAAAAAAGATTTCAAAGCTGACCTTCACGGAGTCCTTCAAGGTCATATCGACATAGCCACGTAATAGACGATTTGATTTTCTTCCATAATCATTATTTTCCAAGATATTTCGTTTATGAACCTTTCTGCCATCCCTGCACAATACCGTATCAAATAAATCAACAAATTAATATTGAAACACGTGCGAGAGATTCGGAGAGCTGCATTATTGGAAATGAAACGCCGAAAAACGTGATGTCTATCTTAAATTCGATATTTTGTCTATATATTCCTACACGAGAAAGATGAAAAAGATCTAAAATTCAATCGAAAATTAGATGCCTCCAAGGGGGTGGATCGGGGGGTGGAGGCAAAGGGACTGGTTACGGACGGCAATGGCCTCTTTTTCTACCGCCTTCGTTACCGTCTTCGTCCTCGCCGCCCCTTCGCACCTCCGTGTAACGTTCACCCTTCACACTTACGATCTTATTGTCGAGATATCGTACCAGCTTCTTGGGCTCGGTCTTCGGCGCCACTGGACGGTGCTCGCGACAATCGTCGTCCCGGTCGACGTAGCTGTATCGTGCTATGATGCGAGACTTCAGCTCTTCGTCGTTCAATCTCGCTTTGTTGCGACCATTCGGCTGGAAATCATCAAAATTGCGTATTAGATGAATATCATTATATCTAAACGCTAATTTATTTACATTACTTTATTTATTAAAATTAATTATTAAATTTATTTAATTATTTATTAATAAAGAGTACTAATTTAATTTTATATATGCAAAATATATGCAAAAATATAAAATAAAAATAGAAAACAAAACAATTTTTTAATATTATGACATCTTAATTATTTAACAGTACACTTGAGAAAGACTAAAAGTATATGATCGAAATATTGTGATTAATCAAATAATTGGTATCGGTGGAAAAATATCTAGTCTTTTAATTTGTGACTAGCGACAATTCAGAATTCTTATCATAAAAAATAATTTATTATAAATGTCTTAAGAAAAATTATTTATTTAAATTAATGATTAAATTATTATTTAATTATTTATTAAATGAATAAAGAATACTAATTTATTTAAATATCAGCTATTAAAAAATTGAACAACTTTTATGAAACTTACACAAGATCTTGGCACTGAAATAGATCATCAATACAAAAAATCATCAAAATTTTAATAAAAACTTAATATATTGCAAAAATATGTTAGACATATATTTCTTAAGTACTAAATAAGAGTAAAATTATGAAGAGGACAATTTTTCATAATTGAATCTCAATGAAATTCTATAAGAATACCAGGTTTTTATAGTATTTCCTGGGAGTATTCTTACCGTTAAAAACGTAAGATTGCTCACGATACTTTGACCTGCCTCCTGACGATGTAACGCGAGCTGCGCAGCCTTTGCTATATCACCCCCAGCAACTGCTAAACAATGCCTTGCTTCTGCGGTGCTCGCTGCTGGGAACATCTCTTGCAACAGAGCCACCTGATGCCATTGGGATTCCTGCAATGACACAAAAATTGTATAGATATATAAAACGCTTAACAGAATGTATTCAAATCTTATAAAAAAATTTCTTGGCACTGAAATAGATCATCAATACAAAAAATCATCAAAATTTTAATAAAAACTTAATATATTGCAAAAATATGTTAGACATATATTTCTTAAGTACTAAATAAGAGTAAAAAGACAATTCCCTGATCTTTTAGATATTTTAAAGTTAAATAAGAAAATTTTTGTAGATGCAACTTTTAAAATAATGTTTATGTATGCATTAAATATAGTTATAGTAAATAAGATAGATTAAAAAAAGATGTGCCAAGTGCTTTTCTTACCTCCGAAAAGTATTCTCCACTAGAATCGCTGCCGGCGTCACTCGTCTCTGACAGATGGTGAACGCGCATTCTTTGCGTACCAGCTGGCAAGAGAGCTGAGAGGCTGATGTGATTCAACGGATCGCTGTGAGATTGGCAATTTTCATTCTCCTTACTCTCCTGTTTCAATTTACTCTCCACGTCCAACAGCCACTTCGACACAGCTTCCTTCTCGATGGTGGAGAACTCAGGAAGGCAAGCAGATACCATTTCACACAATCCATCCACATCCAGATTCTCCTCCAGCGCACTCTCCTCCACCATACTCACTACGTAACTCAGTACAATGTCGTCTATTAAACTAGAATAGAACAAGACAAAAAATTAATCTCCAAGTAAAAAGAGGATTTGTTAATATATGTTTTTGTAATCGCGGTAAAAAATATTTCAGGATATTTTTGTATCAAATAAAAAAGAAAAATCTGGAAAATAATTATATGAATGAATAAACATGATTATTATTAGAACCAAAAATTTTTTGGAAAACCAAGTTTGTACCTCAGTTGAGCAGTGGGCACCTGTTTCCTAACGAAACTAAATAAGGCCTTCTTCACTAATTCCTCCTTCTCGTCCATCGTACGACTCATCCTGCAATCGTCGAAAGCGTTTTAACCCGCGGGAATTTTTCCAAAAATTTATCGAATATCGGGGATATATCGTGTCGAATATCGTGAAAATCCCATATAAAAAGAGGTGCTCTCGCGATTAATATCACACACGACAAAAAGTCCTTTCTCGGCCAACTCATGCGTGTCCTCTCGCTCGCTCGCGATCTGACAAGCGCTGACAGACGTCCTTCGCGCGTATGCAACACTCAGTCATTGATCCTTTAATATAGGTTAAGGGAAACAAGAGGGCAGCAGGTCTCCGGCTCGTCCAGCCTACGACGATCCTCCATGGATTCCAGGATATCCCAGGATAATTCGCTCGGAGGAAATTTTGCTCGATCATGCGGAGAAAAAGAGATAGGGTAGGGTAAAAATTAAGTAGCCAAGAAGAATCGGAGAACTGAATTCATCGTCAGCGCCGGTCGTCCTCGCGAGCGAGGGAACCTGGACGCCTTTGGCGAAGGCGTCCGGGTCGCTTCCGCGAGGTGCACGAGAATACAAACCTTGATCCTAAACCGGAACGCAACTGTCTGTCTCAATCGGAAGTCTCACGCGAACGACGCTAAACCGCGAGATGAATTTCGTATACAAACAACGCTCGTCGATTTGACAGTTCGCGAGGAGAGGGGCGCACACGTGGCGCCTCCTACCGCTTCTCGAGAGAATTTATCGTTTATATTAGCTGTATATACTATTTTATATTTAGAATTTATATTTAGTATTTATATATTTATTATAATTTAATATATATACTCAGATAGCCACAGTAATTATTATGACATCATTTTGATGGCAAATGATGCATTTTGACATCAAAATGATGTCATAATAATTACTGTGGCTATCTGGGTAGTAAGTATACACAATATACAATACATTACTATAATATAGTATATAATAATTTTATATATATATATATATATATATATATATATATGTCATATAAGTATGTATAGTATAAATATATAAAAATATATATATATATATATATATATATATAATATATACTATACTATGACATATACTATAGTATATATAATATAATATATGTATATATATATGATATATAATATACAGAGAATGTGCGGTAAATATGTATAATGATGGAAATTGTTATTATTGGAAGTTATGTGTGTTGTAATAGTTATTTATTTAGATGTAATCTTCACATGTTATACAATTTACACCTACAATATTTTATTCCAATCACATATGACTTTACAATGCGCGCACCAGCGACAATGATACAGTTTTTATTTAATGCATATTCGTAATGTATAAATAATTACAATTTGATATTATATTATTTATACATTAGATGAAATAAGTTACAACACAAATTCTAGAGTTCTAAAATTCATATTTTTATATAAAATGAAACTGATCACACATCCATTTACGAGACAACCGAATATATTATTTCGATATAACAGCAAACAGTATTATTAATCCTTATAAATGCATTGCTATGTCAAATATTTATATTGTGTGTGCATATACATATATATGTATATATATGTATATATAAAGTTAGTTATTACATAAAAGATATAGTTAAATAAATATATATTATAGGTATGCTGTAAAAAAAGATATACTGGACTAGTAGAAATATACTTAATATAATGTATTGTATCTGCCTCATAGTTTTTTTTCACACAAATGCTACATTTATACAAACGATAAAGTATAAATCTTTCGTTAGAGAGTTTGATGCACAAGATAAAGTAAAAGAGCATTTTTTAGTCAAGTATTATTGTTACGTAGATTCCAAAAAAATTATAATCTCTTTAATAATTTGTTTTTTATAATAATTGAATTGCATAATGTCTTCTAGCTGATTTTATTATCTTAATAAACCCGATTTTTTCGCCATAAAAAATGCATTTTTGAGAAATAAAATCACATATTCTTATACAAGTCGAAATTTGTAGCACATGACTCACGACACGAAGATATCCCTACGTTTTACTACTATGCCGCTTTTTTTTCCTTCAACGGCTGCACCTCGTTGTTAGAGATTTCATTGTCTTCTCCGACGTCGGTGGAAGCATAATCGACAGAGTCCTTTTTATTACTGTCTCTATTACAACTCGATTCCGATTCCTCGACAATTTCCTGTTGTTCCAGGAAATCAGTAGGTACAAATTCCATTTGGTCTTCGTTATCGTTTAAATCCGGCGGACCAGGTAGTTCACAAAAATGTAATCTCTCGTCGCCGTCGTTGACCTCCTCGCCACCCGGATCGTCTTCCTCGTGCAAACTCATGAGTTTCTCGAAGTCTGAGGTAGGTGTAACGTCCTCGTTACTCTCCGAAAATATTTCCGTTGGACTAAGAGGTATATCTAAAGGTTCCATCTTCACGGTCGCACAGGGCGACGACGGCGTGACGGGTCGCTGTAAACGTATTTTGGTAAAAGGTCTCGGCTCTATGGACTCGGACTGTTGTCGCTTTTGCGCGCGTTTAGGGCTAGAAGACGTGGACACTTTTGGAGGTGATGCTTTATTCTCTTTGGTTTCTGTAATACCTCTAGGAACTACAAGTTGAGACGATAATGGCTTCGACTGAGGTATAAGCAGTGGTGGTTTTGTGTTCTGTCGATGAAAGAGAGACAAATTTTAGAATTTTGAAGAGATTGCTCTTCTTGAAAAATATTATAAAACTTAATTATATTGGCTTACTTGAGATGAAGGACTTGGTCCAGCTAGACCTTTCACTTGCAATGCCTCTGCGGCATTTAACAGCTGCGGTAGCTTATCATGAGCAACATTGACTTCTCCACGGTACATGAATTTAACCAAGGCCTCCACCTCCCAAAATTTCAAATCCTTCATTAGAATAATAGGATGTTGACACGGATTCTCCCGTAATAAATCTGCCAAATAGTCGCTGCATGAAGATAAAATCATCTTGTGGCATTTTAAAGATCGTCCTTCGCATGCAAGGGTCACATCGACGAACTGTTCTGTATCTAGTAGCGATGGGAAGCTATTTTGCATATTACTATGGTAACTGTTCCACCTCAAACAGACCTAGAATACACACAGAAAAGTACAAGTTGATAAAAATATCCACATTTGCTTCTCGTAATAGATATACAGGATGTCTCATAGGAAGTTGCTGAAACTAATCAGCTGTCATATTTTAATGCATGCAATTATTGAAAAAACCAAAATTGTGTTGGAAATAGGAAAGTCTTTTTAATGGATATTAATAAAGTATTTGTGTTCCAGTTTATTTTATTGATAAAAAATAATGAAAAAGTGCTTATAATCACATAAAATTACATAAATTAATGATAAATATTTTCAACAATGCAAAATTTAATAACAACTATTAAAAGGATCGTCAATAATATTAAAAATGACATGTTAGAAAAAGTTTTTACAAGTTTTCGTAAAAGAACAAAGTGTTTTGTACAAATTCAACTGGTGCGCACTTTGAAAATATTTATCATTAGTTTACATATGTAATTATTATCACTTTTTTCATTATTTTTTTTCAATAAAATAAACTGGTATACAAACATTTTATCTATATCTATTAAAACTGCAGACTTTTCTCTTTCTAACACAATTTTTGTTTTCTCAATAACTGCATGCATTGAAAAATAACAACTGATTAGTTTCAGCAGTTTTCTATGAGACATCCTGTAATACATATTTCCAAAGGATCTATGTACTTCTGTAGGTTGTTGATGGACGACGTTGTGTGGTAATCCTTGATTGGTTTGCCGTGGTGGCATCTTGATAGTCGTAGGTGCAACTTGTTTCACTTTCAGCGGAATAGTTTTTAACACAAGAGTCTTTGGTTGTCGTGATTGCTGCTGTTGCTGCTGCTGAGGCGCTGGTGCAATGTTACGAATATGAGGTCTCACTAAAGATTGCGTAGCTATCCTTATAGTTTTAGCAGTCGTGTTACTTTGGGACGTCGATTGTAAAACTATGTAACAAATAAAAATTAATATATTAATGCAAGTATTTCATATAAATCAAATATATATTACTGAAGGAAACTGAATCATAGAGTGTTTCATGTTAATTCATAGTTTTCAATACACAGGCGATTATTTTTTCACAAATTCTATTCTAAATCATTATTTTGACAGAGCAGTTTTGGTTGAAAAACACCATAATAAAGTCTAACATTCTATTTTACTTATAAATTGTAAGATATCTGATCATAAAAAAATTCTACTCTAACATATTTAGAATAGAATTACTCTAAATACATGTAATTATCATATTACTATTTAGTAATTTTATTCTAAATGTTAGAGCAGAATATTTGTTATAATCAGAAATCTTATAATTTATAAGTAAAATAGATTTTGTTTTTTTTTTTCAATCTTATGAAAACTGTCAAATTTATAATTTAAAATAGAATTTGAAAAAGAATAATTATATAAGTAAAAGTACTCCAATAATTATATTTATTACAATTCTATTCTAATAACGAGTAATAAATATAATTATTTAGAGTAATTCTATTGTAAATAAATGTAATTGTTGGACTATATTTATTATAAATTTTAAAATAATTCTATTCTAATAATTAAGAATTACTCTAATAATTATATACATGTACTCGTTACATATTTAACTCTACTCTTAATAAAAGCTTACTCTAATGTAATTATTACAGTAATTCTACTATAAATAAATATAAATAAATATAATTATGGAACCTTTTCCATATTTATTATAAATGTTAAAGAGTAATTCTACTCTAATAATAATTATAATATTATATTAGAGTAAAATTACTCTAATATAATTACATTTTACATATGTTTATTAACTTTAATAAATTAATCTAATAAAACAACTTACTCTGATGTAATTATATTAATAGTAATTCTACTATAATTATTACAGAGTAGAATTATTCTAATAATTACATTTATTTATTACACATATTTAATTCTACTCTAATAAATATAATTATTAGAGAGTAATTTTACTATAATCTATTAGTAGAGAGTAGACGAGTAGAAGAGTAGTTTTATTATTATTATTCATATTATTCTAATAATTATATTTATTGCTCTTCGTGTTTCTAATTAAATTCTGAAAATAATCTCTGAAAATGATAAAAAAAAAACTAAATTTTAAAATAAAACAAATCACCATGGTATCGCCTGCCGATCAGCCTGCCGCCGTGATGCACCCTGAGATGCCGGTGCAGATTTGTCGTGCCGCACTGGCGCGGATTTGCGCCACCCCTGACGACGACCGCTCCGCAGATACGACACTGTGCGCGCAGTGGATCGTTGGCGCAGAGGTCGAAGTGCGCCCAGACTGCGCTGGGATTCGCCATGGCGCGTAGGCTGCGCGCGTGGGAACGTACCCGATGCGTGACTGCGCTGCTATGCCGGCCGGACGATGCGGATGACGAGGATGGCGGAGGTGCTGGCGGCGGTAGCAAGGCCGTCGTCGGTGGCGACGTCGATGTCGGCGGCAAACTCGACTCGTCGAAGTAACAATCCTCCTCGTCCTCCGGCTCCTGCTTCATCGCGAGACTCTCCTTGTTAATGTCGCTTGTAGAGGTCGTCGCGACCGTACTTCTTTTTTTTTCACGAAAATCGGTACAGCCCCGATATGCGTATTATCTTCTGCTCTCTCTCTCTCTCTCTCTCTCCCTCTTTTTCTTTCTCTCTCTGTGGAACGAGGAAATATGTTGATTTAATTGAACGATTCGCGCGTAAATTGAAAGTGAATCGCGTTATCAAGATACTTTAATAAGGTTCTCAATGTAAAATATGTAATATTTAATTGTGCCCTAAAAAAGTGTAAGCGAGAAAATCGAATTGTATCCTCGTTATCAATTTTTTTAATAATTTAATTCTCGCCGATAAAGAATTTTGACAGCTGTCAAAATCAGCTGTTCGCATCGTTGCGGTTTCGTTTATGCATATATTTGATCGTTTTAATGAAAATTGATTATTATCGCTTTTTCTGCATATATAAGTACGTGTTTTTCTGTCAAGTATTTAAAGAGCAATATTACATTCCAGTTTCTCTATAATAATGACCCAATAAGTAGCAAGCATACGTCATTTTGACGTCGATGTCATTAGATGTCAAAAAACGTCATTTTGACGTTTAATGGCGTCAGTTTGCTACTTGGAAAATTAACCTATCGAGTTCAATTTTTATCAGAGCAAAATTCTCGCAAAGAACGAATATTCCCAAATTTATACCCAAAACACAACGTAATTAAGAATCGCTATCACAGAAACCTAGCGAGGGTAGTGTAATAGCTCTCCTGGGAGCATAAGATAAAATCAATAAAATCTCGATGGCGCGTTTATCTGTCAATTTTTTTATTCAAACGAAATTCTCGATATATCTCTCATTCCGTCGCGTTCCATCGAATTCCAAAGAAAGAATTACGCGACAACAAGCAAAAAATCAAGATATCTCTAAATATATCATGAGTGTAAAAAAAAAATACACGAAAGAGACTCGCTACGTCACTGGCTATTGTCGCACGCGCCATCTTTTTTTCCTCCCTCTCTCTCTTATTGTTAGCACGCGTGTGCTAAGAACGTGGTTTGGCATCCGCGTCGGTGCATCATCCGGCGCAAAAACGATCGTACGATCACGCAATTTTTTCTTCGCCGAAACGTCATTTTCCTCCGTCCTCAACTTCGCCCTTCCTCGCGCCGGGAGCCTCCGCATTTGCCTCCCTCTCTCTGCGCGCGTTTCATACCCACTCCATCGCGTCGTGCACCTACGGAGCAAGTTTGTATCGTTCGCGGAGGATCGCGCGACCGGCTATATAAAACGGGCGACTGTAACAAGTGCGCGACACACGGAGCCAGGGCGGCCGTAGAAACGGGTTGGATCCTCGTGAGCACATGGTTTTTTCTTTCTTTCCGTTTTTTCATACCGATCTTTTACATACTCGCGAGCGATTCTTGCGATATCTCTCGCTCCGCTATGGTCGATCGATTTTCCCGTCCGGAGGTGTCGCCCGCCGCGAAAAGGTGTCGCCAAGATTCTTACGCGACTCATCGATGAGGCACGGATCGGTTATTCCGACGACAATATTTAGAATCGGTCGATACTCGGGACAGATATCTGTTTATATTGCCGACCCCCCCTCCTACACGACCTATACGTCTCTGAATTCTCTCCCGCACGGTTCTCTTACAATATGTATCCTCTCCTGAAAGGTCCACAAGAGACGCGGAGAGATCGTCGCCACCCCTCCGAGTGTTCTATACCTTCCTCGTTTCCCGGATCGCTAACAAGCCGAAGAGAAGACGGGGAGATCGTTTTCGACGTCACGCTACGGAGCCGCGTCGGAGCGTTTCGGGGCGGTGGCCGAAAATGTCGCGCGGACCGGGAGAGACGATTTTCTCCGAAGCCGAACCCGGGAGTGACTAAAATCGAAATCGGTGAACGAAACAGGGGCGCGTCAGGACGCGCATGTGCGACGGCGTCGGTCGCCGGTCGTCGACGCATAGTAGTAGTATCCGTACAGCTGCCTGTGTCTCGTCGGGGCTATCGCGCGCGTGCGTCTCTCTCTATCTTTCTCTCTCTCTCTCGCGCTCTCTCTTTCTCTCTCTTCTTTCGCATCTCCGTAGGCGCTCTATAGCTCAGCCACAACAACACAACACCGGAGGCTTTACTAACCGACTCGACGATGTCCGACTCCGAAACTGTCCGGACAAGTCTTCGATCGATCGGAGAGGATGAGGCATTATTATATATCTCTATCTCCGTTCCAGGCCTCTTCCTTCCGCTTATCCGGTTCTTTGACTTTTATGTATTATATTGGACGCAGTATGTGTTGTGCTTAGATGATTTTTAAATTGTCTACAGGGTGTTTCATAGGAAATTGCTGAAACTATAATCAGCTGTCAATTTTTCTATTTTTTTTTTTTTTTTTTTTTTGAGCGAATACATAATTAATTTAAAAACTACACTTATATTTTTTAGAATAAAATAGGAAAAACATTTTTTAATTATTGATAGCGTGTTAAAGTTGAAATTATTCAAACTCTAAAATACTTTTTCTTAATTTTTAGGACAAAAAATGTTTCTTACTTTTTTATAGTACAGGTGTCTCATAGAAAATTGCTGAAACTAATTAGCTGTCATTTTTTAATACATATACAGTTATTGAGAAAAAAATGTGTTGGAAAGAGGATAGCCTGCAGTTTTTAATGGATATAAATGTTTGTATACTAGTTTATTTTATTGATAAAAAGTAATAAAAAAGTGATAATAATCACATATGTAAACTAATGATAAATATTTTCGAAGTGCGCACCATTTGAATTTGTACAAAAATCTGTTCTCTTTTACGAAAACTCGTAAAAACTTTTTCTAACATGTCATTTTTAATATTATTGACGATCCTTTTAATAGCTGCTATTAAATCTGATACTCTTGAAAATATTCTTCCTTAGTTTATGTGATTATTAGCATTTTTTTCATTACTTTTTATCAATTCAATAAGCTGATATTTATATTTATTAAAAATTGCAGATTTTCCTCTTTCCAACACAATTTTTGTGTTCTCAATAACTGCATGCATTAAAAAATGACAGCTGATTATACTTTCAGCATTTTCCTGTAGGACACCCTATAGATAAATATAAGATAAAAATGTTTTATCTTAGATGAGATGAAGAGGATTTTTTTTTAAATATATCTCTAGATAAAACATGAAATTATATATGACGATTCATCTAATAGATAATTTATGGTTAATATTATTTTAAAAATCGCTTATGTAAATAATTATAAAAAAATGTAAATTTACATTAAAAAATGACAGCTGATTATACTTTCAGCATTTTCCTGTGGGACACCCTGTAGATAAAGATAAGATAAAAATATTTTATCGTAGATGAGATGAAGATGATTTTCTTTTAAATATATCTCTAGATAAAACATGAAATTATATATGGCGATTTATCTAATAAATAATTTCTAGATAATATTATTTTGAAAATTACTTATGTAAGTAATTATAAAAAAAAATGTAAATTATAAAGATACATGAAAATATATTCATATTTTTATTTTACTATGACTCTAAACGAAATTATCTGAATATTATTCTAATAATTTAATAAAGATAACACTTTTTTAATCTAAGATGCAGTTATAGATAAAACATATATTTTTACTATTTATATAAAGACCAGATGACGCTAAAATTTCATCTAAATGATCATCTATATAATTTAGATGACAGCAAACACTGATTAAGCGACGTATTGGAAACATGATATTGCGTTGTAAGACGGAACATGAGAATTCAAAGAGAGAATCGTATTTTTGGAACCGAAATTTGAAAATCCATTCGGAGAGAGTGCTGGTCCATTATATACAAGGTGTTCCAAACTTACCATATTATTCGTCAGTTTGCTATTTGGGAAAGTTTTTTTCGCAAACTAATCCAAATAGCAAACATACGTCACTTTGACGTTGTCTCTGGCGAACAAATTTTTCGATTATTTGAATTTCTTCATATCTCTTAGATTTAAAAAAAAACATTCATATTTTATATTATTTTTGTTAAATTTTTCTTTGTTTTAATTTATTTTGATTACTTGTTTATTTTAATTTAATTAATTTTGTATAAGATTGTTAAAATTTCATATTTCTTCTTTTAGCATCGAATTATTCTACGTCTTTTGTTGATTAGTAATTAGCAATTATAATCATATTATTTATACTGAAGGGATTTCTTTTTCTCGTTTATAAATATAAATAAATTTTTTATTAACAGTCGTGAATAATATAGATAATGTATTTAAAAGAATCTATAATATTTAATAAATATGCAGCACATATCCGTAGGATTTTTTTCAGGAGGAGGCATTCCATTTTTTTATTTCTTCATTTTTTTAAAATTTAATTTATTTTTATTTTTTTTTTATATTAAATATGCAAATAAATTCCAATATTTATTAAAAAGAAAAGCAAGTGTTTAATTTTTTTACTGGCGGTACACTATAATTATTTGTTTAAAAAATGTAAAAAATTCATGCGTATATAAAAATCGGACGTCATGTGATGCTTTACGAAGGACCTAATTATAAATAGCCTTACGCAGATAATAAATAAATTAATATCGATTTTATCCGTCTTTCCATGTCCGTATTTTAATGCGCATCGACGCGATGCGTCAAAAATGAGGATCATCAATAACATCCGTTATATGTAATGGAATTTTATTCATCAGAAATATTTATGTGGGATTTTGAGAGGGAAAACAACTGAAAGCACTGGCTCGTGTAATGACTCATCATTTTTAATGTAATTTTTATAGTAGCATAGTATAATATTAATTAATTAATTAAATTAATTATATATTAAATATTGTTTTCTTTTTGTATGCACTGTGTAACCGAGTAACAATACAGACGAGACTAGCAGATGGTGACCTTCGTAGCGCTATACTCCTCCCTTCCATCTTGGCGCAAAAATTAAAATTATTTGTCATTTTTCTTACATCGCTAATTAACGTGGATATTTCTGTTACATTTACGTTTATCTCTATTTAAAGTGTAAAGTCTCTCATTCCCGAAGCCCGACAGCGTTTTCATCGATTGCTCGTGAAACATAAAAGGGGGAGAAAAGCCCGCTCCGATTAGAATATATATTTATAATAATAAATTATTTTCATGTGCAAAAAAAGTAGAGACGACACATATGTTTGTAAAAAAAAATTATACTTTAATAAATAATATAAAGCGTAATATCATGATCATTTTAAAGAGACGGGCAACAACAATAGATGTCGAGCGTGAATATTCGAAGGATATGGACTGTCCTATATAAGATTTTCACTTGATAGATGTAATAAAAAGCGCGCTTTTTCGAATATATACGTATGAAATCGCGACGTGCATGTTTCAATGACTTACAACAATATATAATTTCACTTTATATATATATATATATATATATATATATAATAAATAATAATAAATAATAATAAATAATAATAATAATTTTATAATTAATCAATTGTTTAATTTTATTCGAATTTTTAGCGATTAATTCTTAAGGGACTTTGATTTTTTTTAATCGTTTAGATCGATCGGCCGATAAAAGTTGCCAATGCCTTCAAAATTGTTCAAACGTCGATCCTGTGACAATAATATGTGTAAGATACATAGAGAGAATTTCATTAAGAGTATAAGGGTGTGTATAAATAATATGCAGCACAGCTTTTCGGCAAGTTCGTAAGAGAATGTTTGCGCGTCCTGTGTTCTGGACAAGACAAAGATTTACAGCTAAGATTTTCGCGCGATTTTATATCAGTGGCAGTTGTCAAAAAAACACTATATTATTTCCCAAGTAGCACACTGATGTCATTAAACGTCAAACTGACGTTATTTTGACGTCGGTGATGTCATTTTGACATTTAATGATGTCAGTTTGACGTCGATGACGTCATTTTGACGTATAATGACTTCAGGTTGCTACCTGAGTGGTTCTAACTATATAATAAGGTTCCCTTAATTACGGTACTGTTCCTATGTGTCATCGGGTTTCTTACTATTTCTATATAAATCTCGACTGCAATTTTTGTTCACTTCTGTATATGCATAAACCGCAGAGTGCGGTTGTAGCAAAGTATCTATCTAGGTATCTTACGTCACAGAGTAAAAAGGAAAAGAATATGTCAGATACCGACGATATAAAGGCACGACGGATTCCTCGATGCGTCGTGTCGCGAGAACGATGTGTAAGTGTATGTGCGTATGTGTGTGTGTGTGTGTGTGTGTGTGTGTGTGTGTGTGTGTTGTATTACCAGCAAGCATTTTTTTTTTTACCATTCCGGAAACCGACTAGCTGGACTAAAACGACGTACCGAGCTCGCTTTAGTAACAATCGCGTGTCGACAATCTGGCATTTTATTCGTTAGAAATTGACGTTGTGCAAAGTATCGATGTACGATGACGCTATATAACGGAATAATCGTGGTGATGCGCGTTTATTTTTATATCTATAGCATAATGGAATATGCAATGACGATCACACTACCATATAGAAAAAACCGACGATGATTGATTTTGCGACGATCGACGGTTCACATGGAACAATAAGGAATAACACTAGTAATATAATGATGATGATAATAATAAGATGATAATAATAATAATAATAATAATATTAATAATTATATTAATAATAATAATAATAATTGTGATATATGTAAAATTGGAGAACTTGTACTCGTCGGGAGATAAATTCATCACGAAGATCATCACGTTCGCGCGCGCGCGATCGAATCAATTAACTGACACTTATTTGTCATGAATCAAATATTTGTAACCAATGATGCTATTCGTCAACGATTAATATCGAAAAGGCCAATCGATGGGTATGAAGATAGCGCTTTATCGTTGAGGAGGCTGAGCAACGAAGTCGAAGAACAAATCGCACCTTTAAATAACACTCCGTGGATAGCGGCCGCTTCGTGTTACGCTGATCGCGATCATCGACCGGGCCTATTCTGAGCCGTCAAACAATCAAGCGGCATATACGAAGTATGATAGACAGCAGCGAAAAGAAGGCTCCTCGTGTCGCGGCGTTGCGCAGGAGCAGAAAGCGTAGCATTATTATCAGCAGCCCGAATTGCATAGTCCTGTGAAGCCAGTACAGTCTGTAACAGACGCAAATAAAACACATGTCAGACTGACGGATCTTTTTTTCTATAACACATTAAAGAAACAGATAGAGTATATAGGTAAAGAAATTCTTTGTTTCCTCTAAAAATCTATAAATAATACAAACTTCTACCCAGGTAGGAAACTGACGTCATTAAACGTCAAAATAACGTCATTTTGACGTTTAATGACGTCATTTGACGTCAAAAAGACGTACGCTTGCTACTTGGAATTCCTCACGTCCAAATAAAAAAAAATGTATATATACCCATAATCAAAAATTCTAATAATGTCAAATCTCTGCTGATGTTTGAAAGATTTGATAAGACTCCTAGAGCCATGTTAGATTGTGACGTCAGCGGCGAAGGAGCACACTCTGAAAATTCTGTTTTCTCATCTACGACGTCACAATTCCAACATGCTCGATTAAGAGCTAGGAGCTTTAATATTGTTTTAGTTTTCAAGAAATAGATTTTAGAATGTTCTCTGAAGAAATTGCACCGCAAAAAAGATATCTCACTTTGTGATGTGTGAACGAGCAGCTGGCAGTGTGTCCGGACTCTCTTTCAAAATAAAGTGTCGTATTCCCAAGATGTAATGCTCTAAGTACGACGGCCAATCGATCTGCCTGACGTCGAACATGAATGTTTCCCGATCCTCCGGACTGAGTTGTTCGCCGAGTCGTCGTACGTTGTCGTCTCTGAAGTTCCATTGCTTCGTGCTGAAGTACTCCAGGCACTTGCTGGCCTTGGAGAGCTTCGCCTGCACGCGGACCATTATTGGCCGCGAGCCCTTCAGCCGTGCCAGGATGTCTAGGATATGCGCGGGTAGCGTGTGCTGAAGCGTCACGCACAATTGATTGTAGATGATGGATCTGCGACAGTGACCGTCCGGATACCAAAGCGCATCGTTCGCCGGATGTACCCGGGAGTATTTAAGGGACAGCTCAACGAACTGCTTCCAAGTTATAGGGTTTTGCTGACCGGTGCAACAGTTGTAAATCGAGATGGTGTCGGTGCGATGCGTCGCGGTCCTCCATGCCGCGCAAATCATTAGATTTATCACTATGTCGACGGGCACCAAGTCTGCCACTTTATCCTTGTGGCACAGCATAGTTCTGTAAGCGAGACATTTTTATAGAAGATTTATATATGAAGATTATTAGGATATTAGCTAGCGAGGTATCTCAATATTTGTCCAACTAATATCCCAGGTAGCAAGCATCATTTTGACGTCCAATGATGTTAGTTTGACATTTAATGACGTCAGTTTGCTACTTGGGGTGTGTTATTGCAGTGTCATTGATTAGAACCAGAGATGTGTAAAATAGGTGTCCAAATCCATTTGAAATAGAAAATGCAAAATAAATTTTTCATTTTTACATTTTACACTTTGTATTTCGTATTTTAAATGCATATGCAGGATGTCCTAAAATTACAGGATACTCTATTAATAGGAAATTCCTAAAATTATTTAGAGACGATTTTTCTCGTCAGCGAAAATAAGGCACCAATAATTTTCAAGTTAAAATGATTGAAAATAAAGAGTTTTCCACAAACTAAGTCCTGTAGAAATAAAATATAACTAAAACCAGTCTTCAATCAAGCGTAAATTTGACAGTTTTATTTTCAGGTAGAGTTTACTTTAGTACTTTAGCAGAATTTTTATTTAAAGCAAAGTTACAAAGATACATGATGGCAAAAATTGGGAAACATGCAATAAATGATGATCTTCTTTATCTATGATCTATATATATTAAATAATCTTAGGAACCTCCTCATTAAGGCTTCTGGCTCTTCACCGCGACCATGTTGGATTATGACGTCAGAGGCGAGAAAATACACATTGTTCATCGATTATAAAGGGAAAAAGAGTTTTCGGAATATTTTAAAAGTGTGCTAAAGCAATCTGAAGTAATGTTTTATCGAAATAGCTTTTTATTTAAAAATGGCACGCAAGAATTTTTAGCATGTGCGTTTTCTCATCTCTGACGTCACGATTTCAATATGGCCGACGAGGAGCCAAGAGCCTTAACAAGGTTCCCTATAAATTTGGAATACCTTGTATATATTTCAAATGATACATCTCTGATTAGAACAGTCCTTGAACCCAGATAGACTGACGTCATTAAGCGTCAAAATGACGTTATTTTGCTACATTTTGACGTTTAACAGGGTATATACTCAAATCTTTTAAATAAATTCGATGATTTTCCAGATATATTTTTGTTCAAAATTCCAAGTAAAATTAAAGTATTTAAAAAAATTTTAAATACAATTTTAAATTAAGTTTATTTTTGTTATACATAATTTTTTAACATAAATAAAATATTTTTTAATATAATAATATAATATTATATTTTATAATAAAATATATTTTAATATACTTTATATAAACCTAATAAATTTTATATTCTTTAAAGGTATATTTGAAAATAAAATCAAAGCGGCAATTTTTTAAAAAATTCCCTGAGTTCAAAATAAATTCCATGAAAATATTCCAGGATTTTTTAAGGTAAAAAAATTCCCTGAAAATTCCACGTCTTCCAAGTTTTTTCCCAGGAGTATATATCCTGGTTTAATGACATCAGTTTGTTACTTGGCAAGGTCCTTGAAGTCAGTTACCTGAAGAAGCCTTTTGAGGCGGCAGCGATGATCCCGGTAGGTCCGTTGCAGTTGTCGACCCAACCCGCGACCGGTTCTCTGTAGGACGACAACACGATCGACGGCCTGACGATCGCCACCGGTAAGGAACCCCTTTCCCGCTGGAGCATCCGTTCGGCTAGTGCTTTGGTAAATGTGTACGTATTCGGCCGGCCGGCGATCAGATTTGGAGTCAGATCCTCAACCATCTTGTCGTCCATCCACTTTGTCAGAGCGATCACCTGCTCGGGCTCCTTTCCCACCGGATAAATCTCCTCGGCGACGTCATGCCGATCGCAATTGCAATACGCCGTCGAGACGTGAATGAGCGCCTGCGATTAAAAACTTGCGTTAATCACGTTTACGCTTTTTGTTTGTAAATTAACGAGAAACATGAATTGCGATTGCAACTTCCACCTCGGTAGGTTGATTGAACGTGCACTCCTAATGACTATTATATGTGTAAAGATTAAGTGTGTACACGAAAACATTACAAAAGATATACTTAGAAAAAAAAATGCGAAAAAATAAACATATATCTTTGTGATATATAAATAATGATCAGACAAAAGCTTATTTTTTTATTAATTAGATATATTTATTAATTCTATCCTTTTTTTATGTTTGTTTTTTTTATCTTAATTATATGTATAATAAAATTATATTTTATTTTTGCTCTGAACATGCTTTATATATGAACAGAGATATGATAAAAAATTTTCAATATTAAAATAATATGTAAATAATATTTTTTAATAATATGTAAATTTTTATTTACAAAACACACACATCATCGAAAAAAATTACTACTATGTATAAAATAAATGCTTGTTTTATACAATATAATATATAATGTATAAAAATATTATATTGTATTAATATACAATATTAAAGAACATTAAAGAACAAATATTTCTCCATATAACAATTTTTCGACGAGCGTAAATTGGATACCTCTTTTATTGATTTAAAAAAATAATTTTTTAAAGGATAGAATTTTTATCTAAATATACCTAATTTTTTGCATAATATTAAAATTTGTCTCCCTTGCAGTGAGAAAAATACAAAAGAAATTTGCAAATAATTAATAAATAATAAATAAACATATGATTTCATATATATAATTCAATTAAACATTTTTTGCTTACGAATACTTAAAGATTAAAAAAAAATAATAATGATTAATGTGTTATTAAATACCACCGAGTTGGATATATATAAATTGATGTTTTGCACGTTTTCTTTCAAATATGTGCATACAAAAGTCAAAAATTAAATTTATTTATTTTTCTAGCTATACCTTTATAACATATTTATGACCTGTTTTTTTATATATAGACTTTCATTATAAATTGTAATTAGTATAAATTATAATATGAAAAGAATTATATACGCACGCGCGTAAAATTCTTCAATAGGCGATCGATGAATGTTTTAGAATAGAATCGCACGATATAATAAAAGAGTGCAAAATACAAAAATATACTCGTAAATAAAAACCGGCTCTATTTACCTTTTGAAATATGCGGAAGATACGGAATTGAATATATTTCAATATTAAGAAACTTGAACACAGAGCTAGAGAGCTGTTGATTAAATAAAAATCGACGTATGCCATGAACAAACGAAACGAAGCGTTCAAAAGATTCTCGAGAATTTATATCCCGAGAGAGATATATCGTATCTTTCGATGTTGTAGAGATGTACAAACCCTCCGTAGAGAATAGACACTGTAATCTTTCGTAAAGACATGCACATTCGTAAAATATAGGATCAGTTCATATAGCTACAGTGATTAAGGCTCCGGCATCCTTGCCGCGACCATGTTGGATTGTGACGTCAGAGGCGAGAAAGCGCGCGATGAAAATTCTTAGATGCCATTTATTTTAAATGAAAAAATATTTCGATGAAACACTTCAAATGGCTTTAACACGCTTTTAAAATACCTCGAAAATTATTCTTTTCCTTTGACAGTCAAATAATCGAGATATCACTGTCGTGCGAAATGACTGCGCATGCGCAAAGAGCAGACGAACTGGGGTCTTATATTACAGTCATTTTACAGCTGTTGATTGATTATAAATTATATAAAGAAAAAAGGATAGTTTTCGAGGTATTTTAAGAGTGTGCTAAAGCTATCTGAAGTGTTTATTTAATTTGAAAGTGGTAGCTAAGAATTTTTAGCGTATTTTCTCGCCTCTGACGTCACATAATATGATCGACGAGGAGTCAGGAGCCTTAAATCAATTTTGATTTACATAAGATTTACAACAAAAATCAATCTACGGCTCAAACGATTTTACGACTTAAATAGGAAAAAAGGAAGAAAAAATCTCGCATTTTTCTCTTACCTCTACGTTACGCATGCGGTGACATAATTGAACCAATCTTTTGGTACCCAGCATATTTATGGTGACCGAGAGTTTCAAGGCCTCGTCAAATTTCACGGTGGCTGCCGAGTGAAAGACGACGGATACGGATCGTATTAACATATCTTGATCGTCCGCCGAGATGCCCAGTTCCGGTTCCGTAACATCACCGGCCACGGGGATGATCTTCGACAGCTCGCCCGGAGAATCCCGCCGTAATTTCTCAAACAGCTGACAGGGCAGAAACAATAGTGATTTCGATTTTTTCGAAAAGATTATTATCAAGCAATGCAAAGAGCAGGTGATAATTACCGGTGCGTTTAAGAGTTCCTGCAGCCTCTCCTGCACGTCCTGACCCCTCTTGGGTCTCATCAGAAGATATATATTCTTGATATCCGGACATGATCTCAGTAGCTTCTCGACGAGAACTTTACCCATGAAACCAGTGCCTCCGGTTATAAAAATCGATCTATCTCTGTAAAAGTCTTTCACGGATGTGTACTCTCCGCCAGCCATCGTGGCCATATCAAGAATTTCTTAGTCAAGTCCTTTAAAAAAAAACATCAGGGATTAGAACAACATTCTCTAAATTACTATTAATTTATTTAATTATTCAAGTGCCCACGTAGCAGACTAACGTCATTGAACGTCAAAATGACATCTAATGACGTCAGTCTGCTCCTGGGTGATTTACGCAGTACAATAAACACAATTATTAAGTTAGCGGATTTATAAGTTTATTTATTTGTTATTTTATTTTTTAACTTATGCTTTGAAATAAAGCTAAATTTGACCAAAAATGACCAATTTTCAAATTTGAAAAAAAATTAATGTAATGGAAACGAATAGTTAATTACTAGTGTGCTATATGGAAACACCTATCTATCATAATCCACTAACGAAATTTAATAAAATTATCCAAAAATTTGATTTATACTATGTTATTAATAATATCCTACCTAAATTATTTTGCCTGGAGTTTCCAGTAGAAAGTATAGCGAATTCCTATGTTTCTTTGCTTCCTTATGTTTCCGTTTCTATGTTTTTACATCCAAAATTACATACATTAGATGTAGAGTACGATATACAATAATAGATCAATTAAGCTGTAGAATGCAATGCTTACAAAGAATTGCAGATGATGCGGATGATAAGCGATAAATATCAAGGCATACATTATGCTTTCTCTGAATTGATATTTAATTTGTCACTTTAAGGCTCTTGGATCCTCATCGCCGTCATATTGGATTGCGCTGAGAATTCTTAGATGCCATTTACTTTAAATAAAAAGATATTTCGATGGAACACTATTTCAGATGGCTTTAGCACACTTCTAAAATACAATTATTCTTTTCCTTTGACAGTCAAATCAACAACCGTAAAATGATCATGATATCAGATTTTGTCATATTGAATGACTGCACATGTGTAAAGATATAATGTATGTTTAAATAATTTTACAATTAGATAAAAATGATGGAAATAAATGAAATGAAAATATGTAAATTCATCTTAGATAAGATAAAAATAGTTTTGTTTTAAATATATCCAGAAAAAGAAAAAATTATATGGCGATTCATCTACATAAGTTCTAGATAATATTATTTTTGAGTAAACACAATAAATAAGTAGTATTATTTTTATGTAAACACATTTGTAAAAAAATGTAAATTATAAAAGGAATATAAAAATATATTTATAGATAACACTTTTCTTCATCTTAAACTCATCACTTCATCTAAGACCTTATCTAATGCAAATATAGATATAATGTATATTTTTATTATCTATATAAAAGATATAAGATGACACCAAAATTTCATTTAGATGATCACTGCCAGACGGACTAACGATTGATTATAAAGAGAAAAGGATAGTTTTCGAGATATCTTAAGAGTGTGCTAAAGCTATCTGAAGTGCTGTTTCCAAATTTTTTATTTTTAAACGGCATCTAAGAATTTTTAGCATGTGTTTTCTCGTCTCTGACGTCACAATTTCAACATGGCCGGCGAGGAGCCAGGAGCCTTAATGTTGTAACACTGTGATTTTATTTTAATTAATCAATGTTAACATTAATTTTAACGTTACCTGGTCTGTGATTTGACCAATTTTCTCCCAATGATTATTCTTCTATTGTTCGAGCCTTGGGAAATAACGAGGCGCGGTAAAAACGGCTCTCAAAAATAAGGATGCAGCATCTGCGAAGGGTGCGACGTCTTTTTTTCACAAACGTATACGCCGTACCGTGACCTTCCAAGCGGATGCAAATCAAATCCAACGTTCGTCGGATTCATTTCACGTCTCTTACAGTTACGAACTTGTCTCTACAATGTACAGAAATTTTTTTTTTTTAATTCATGAGAATCACGCATACGTATTTTTTAACTCGAATATATATTACAAATATTGAATTTAAGAGCAATTTCGAGCAAGCGTTGATCTTCATACGCGTACTTTTATTAAGTGCAAATAGCAATTACATTGATATCGCAAAAATTATATTAGTAAATATTTGAACGTTTCGGCTCCCTTTTTTGGGCCATCTTCAGCGTAAACTACGTAAATCTGGTAAAAACAAAATCAAACGCAAACTAGTCGCAAAATAAAATTAAACCTGAACATGGTCATTATAAATATAAAAATTTTAAAATACGCATAAGAATCCGACAATTGTAGATATAATTCATGTTGCTGGTAACGTTTTCAACCTCTCAACGTCATTAGTAATCGCAAAATGTCGACAGAGTGTCGAATATATTTATTATTTGATTTTAAAAATAAGATTGAAGTCTATTTTAGAGGATTTAATTTCTTACAAAATTTAAAAGACAGAATTCTATTTGCAATTTTATGTTCCGGAAATATCTTATAATATATGCGCATATATACAGGGTGTCAGGGTACAGTAGTAATTATTCAGTAACGTTACTGAATAAAAATCACTATTTTATTATGCCCTACAGAAAAAAATGGTACAGGACTCTTCGACTCAGTTTTTCACGAGGAACATCGCATATAAATATTGGGCGCCAATTAAGTGACACCCTGTATATCTTGTAATATGTTTTTTATTTTTAATAAATTATCTTGAGCAGACATATATTACACAAAACTCATATATAAAATTATAAATAAAATTCTGCCTCGATTTGCATACGATATATGATTTTTAATTCGTCTAAAATGAATTTTATACATATATGGTATTTTATCTTACACTTTAATATGATTTGATTGATTCTGAGAAGAATTAATGTTATATAAATATAGAAAAAGATTTTTCATTAAAAACATATTTTGCTAATCTTACTATATCTTAATATATTTTAAAAATTAAATAAAAAGTGATAGATTTTGATAATTTAATTATGTATATCGTGTTCTTAGAAAAATTGAATAGTTGTTGCTCAGGATCAAATTTCGAAGTTCTAATAAAAGGAGTAGAAAATACATTACTTTGCCATTTTTTTCGCAAGATTTGTCATTCATAAATCTAGATACAATACGCCTAAACGGAAAATGTGTTGAACCCGGAAGTGAAAGCAATAATGACGACTTCTGTTTCTCTCTTTTTTATATCTATTGCATTCTACAATTTGTATCCATTTAAACATAATTCGAATTCTTTCATATATCTTTACAAGTACAGTTTGTGCAATTATAAGTTAAGTACTGCTTCTTTGACTTAATAGCTTTAATAAGTGACAATATAAGTATTAACTTTCTGCCCCCAGTTTGAGCACCGGAAGATGTGATTATTATTTAATTTTATATAATACATCTTTAATAAAATTAATTAAAATATGAAAAAAATATTAATAATTGTAATAATTATTAAATACATAAATAATTGAATAATATACAATGGCATAAAAATGCTTTCAATTTATGATTCTTTTTATTTTTGAATATATTAATAAATTAATAAGTTTTACACAATTTATAATTTTATCAAATTTTCAAATTTATCATATTAATTATATTTAAAGAGAAATGATACCTAACTCTTTTATATTAAATTATTTTTATTTTTAATTAATTCGAAAGATATATATAATTTTATCAGGTCTGTAAAAATTCCCTATCTAAAAATATATCTTATAAGTTTTATATATTATATAATGCATAATATATATTTTTCCAATTAGCAGAATTTATAATATTGAAATTTTTCTACAGAAATCACAAAAAGGATTTAAACAATAAATAATGAACTAACAATTTTCTAATATAAGTGTCACAAATTTTGCTTGTTATTTTTATTATTATATAAAACATATATTAATAATTACTGTTATATAACGTCGAAATAATTAGTTCATTTGGTGTTTCTAAAATATGGGAACTGATTAATAAAAAAAATTGTAAAATGTCTAAGATTACTCTTGATATAATTTTATCGGATATGGGTGATTTTATTATTATACATATATTAATAATAAAATATAATTTTTGTTATATAACGTCGAAATAATCAGTTCATTTGGTGTTTCTAAAATATAAATAGGAAACTAATTAGTAAAAGAAAATTATAAAATGTCTAAGATTACTCTTGATAATTTTATTGGATATGGGCGACGGCTTTAAAGCGATGGAATAAGAGAGAACCGATAGGAGATCGATAATCGTCATGTAAGGGTGTCCGTATAAGCACGTCTTGCCAACCGATTTGCGAACAATGCAGCCTAACGTACCGTAAGCGGGTTACGAGGCTATTCGGTTTTATTGTTGCAAAAAGGAAGCGAGCTCTTGGACAAAATCGGATCGTTAGTCTGCAGAAATTTTCCCTAACAGGCAAGTCATTGCGAAGTATATTTATCGCGGGTGAACGAAAAATATTTGTTATCTTGCCGCATATCGAACATGACGTGATATGACGCGTCAGAGCTATATATCTCACATGTATTAGTTGTTAAGTATACCGTTTGTATCAATTGCCCAATGTAGTTGCATTTCTTTTTCTCTGGCATATGCAGGGTGTCCCAAACCTTACTGTACTCGTCATCACACATATCCAAAACATGCACGCGTATACACAACGCACGCATACATACATATGAATCATATTTTTAATTGCAAATTTTTATTAGACTAATCTAAATTTAGAGGATAACAGTGCTTTCTTTCGTGTCCTCTAATCCCAGGGAATGAGCATTTTTATTCATACAAAGTGCATATGTTTTATAAAAAGCACATATTATGATGAGGTTGACAGTTCGTCTGCAATTCGAGATGTCAAATCAAGATGAAAATAAAGAAAAAAAAATTGTTATTTCTCATTTTTTATATCAAATCGAATTGTCCTGGGATTATTGATGCATGTATTGCAATCGTAGAGAAGCATTTATAATTATATCAAATTAAAAAAAAAGATATGCTAGAAGTACGAAAATATATGACTGCGTCGATAAAACAGAAATCGTGAGGGATTCCCTCAAGGGAATTCTAAACGTCCTTGAGAAATTATAAATGGGATATAAAATATTTATATTTTTAAGTTTCTATTGCTTACTACTTAAGTTCTGCTTATTAAGTAATTTTATGTGCTATATTTTTTTTTTTTTTTTTTTTTTACAAAAGCTAATAATAAGTGCTAAGTAATAGTCAGTATTGTTCTTACTTATGATTTTAAAATTAGCTAGATAAAGATGAGATGAAAATATGTAAAGATTTTGTTTTAAATATATCTAGATAAAAGATAAAATTATATATAACAATTCATCTAGATAACTTCCAGATAATATTATTTTAAGACTTATATTATAAACATAGTTATAAAAAGAAATATAAAAATATATATATATATATATATATGTATATTCATATTTTTTAATTTCTTTTTACGTGCTATAACTCTAAACTAAAATTATCTCAACATTATTTTAGATAATTTATCTATATAAAGATAAGATGACCCAAAATTTCATCTAGAATCTACATGATCATCTATATAATTTTATTTAAATAACAGTAAAAAAAACTGGTAATAATGGAACTGAACTTGTTAAAAGAATTGTCTTGAAAAATTACAGTCGGAAAGAGAAAAGTTCGTGTATTTTTATAATCCTCGATTTCTTCGCACAGTCGACATCACGCTACGTGCGGTTAATTGTCGACGTTTTACTAGCATGCAGAGGTTCACAATGCGACATTTACGTAACCATCGCAGTTTTTGAACATGCGCTGTCGTTGTAGACATTATGATTTATGGGGAAAAAAAACGAAAAGCGTCATTAACTAGAAATTTTTCCAAATGTATTAAGTTAAGTGACATTTATGAAGCGCAATAAAAAAATAAGATAAAGGTTTTTCTGAATTTATTACTCGTTTTATATTGTTATGAAAAAAAATATCTACTTTATTAGATGTTATAAAAATTTTTATTTGTTTATTCCTTTTGTCGCAGAAAAGTTTTACTATCTTTTTTAACCAGAAAAGTTACGAAATCAGAAGCTTTTATTAGCAAGTGGTTGTAAAAGAGATTGATTTGCCTATAATCAGTTATGCAATTGATGCTCTTTTCATATACAATGTGTATTAACATATTCAATGTTAAGCTTGTATAAATTTAAACAATTAAATTGAGGAAAAACAGGCCATTTAAAGAAGCTAATGTTTGGATGTTAATAAGTCTTAAAGTGTCATATAATCTTGGAAAATATCATATATTCTTAAAAGTAAACATTTTGACTGTATTCAGTCTTTTACAACACATTCATTTAACCGAAAATATAAATATTTATGAATAGTGATAAAGTTAGTTCAATATAAAAAAAAAATATTAAATATCAAATGTAGAAAACTTCGCAACTGATGGAATAAAGGATGCTATGTTGATTAATATACATTGATTGATTGATTGTTTGCTAATTTGTATTAATGTTCTATGTTATACGTTAAATATTTATATTTTCAATTAAATGAATATATTGAAAAAGACTGAGTACAATCGAAACGTTTATTTTTAAGAATATGATATTTTCCAAGATTATGACAATTTAAAACCTTTTAACATGCAAACATTAGCTTGTTTAGTTGGCTGTTTTTTCACAATGTGTATTAATAGATCAAACAAAAAATACATGGTAACACTAATTCAATTTTTCAGCTTAAAGTTTTAAGTGAATTTTATCTCGAGATGGCTATTTTGATTATATCATTAATTTTATAAAGATATTTAATGAAGAAAGTTGTCAATTTGATGACAATTTCTCCCGACATTACTAGTGAAAATACAAATTAGTCAATTTATTGGCTCGTTAAATCTCTGAGACATTTATGTTATGTATGTAAGAAAAATCTAGATAACTATTATCTAGAGTTCTCATAATAATCCGACTATTATAACGTAACGTTGAGAAAGTGAAAACTCGATATTTTCCTTCGCAGAATTTTTTGCGCTATCGCTCATCTATAATATCTTACTTTCCGAAATATAAATGTCATATGCTGGTTGGGCACTTGTTATTAGTAAACAGGATAATTATGTAATACGAGTACGAGATTTTATTTCGTTCCGGATTCGGTTGGGAAATGGGGTATATATTATTGTTCATTTTTTTATCACTTATGTTATAATAACTATAAAAACGCCTTTCGTTCAAATTAATCACATCTTACTAATAACATCTTACGTAAATAGTGTCGATCATTTTTATGACATGTAACCGCCAATTACAAAATTTTACATCATCGTCCAGATAAACGTATAGTTTTACATAACAATAAAAGGACGAAAAATTGAAGCTGCATCCTTTTTCTATGATTACACGTGTCATTTTGAGTTTTATTTTATTTAGTTATTTATTTTCAGTTGTCTCAACGTGAAAGAAATATAGATGGAATGCGAATAAAAATTAAACAAAAAAATACAAATAATGATCGATATTTTATGCAAATTGCAAGAAATAGATTTGCATTGCTTATTTATCGCAAATATGTGTAAACCCGAATCTACGCGCATTTAATAAAAAAGACATATTGAATAAATATATATATATATATATTGTATTAATTTGTTAATATTTATCTCGACACTTTCAAAGGTATTTAAAATAACTTGAACAATCTCGTTCACCTTTTCTCTCGCAATATCTTTCGACGACGGATAAGACCGGATAAATTCGGTCGGGCGTATCGATAAGTGGTGCGAAAGACGCGAGTAGGCAAACACGTTCGCGCACAGATATGTAGGGACACATATAAACGTAGAAAACGGACACATGCGCGAGCGGGACGATTCTAGGTCACTGTCCTGACTTCAAGAGTTGCGATGCAACCGGGAGAAACGGAGCGTCCGTCCGGAGAGTCAGTCCGTTACACGTTGCTGTAAACCCGTTACGCGGCGAATCCGCGAGCGGGAACGTGATCGTGACCATGGTCATGATTGCAACCGCGACCGCGAAACCGATCGGCCACCCTCGCCGGGGATCGACCTCCCTCCCACCCACTTCGTCCTCCCACTTCTATTGCTTCCTCCCGGTTTTATTTCGGCCATCACTCTCACCATCCGTGTCCTCCTTGGTGATGACCAGGCTAGGTGTATCTCATTTCGCGTATGTCGCTCGCATAAGTATTTGCATAATCTCCTCTTTCGTGCCTAAACGTGAAAACCGGTATGATTGCAGTTCGCCTTTTACCAAATGTTGCAAGAACCCGAAAGGGCAGAAATAAGAGTGAAAAAAGTGAGCGACAAGCGTGTGGGACTTTCCAACGTTGCGCGAATCATTAGGTTTGGCTGTTTTGGCCGCGCCGCTGCACTGGTGCAATAAATTTGAGTAAAAAAATGCACATTTATTTCAGTCTTAACTTATTGCACCAGTACAGCAGCGCGGTAAAACAAACAAACCCATTATTACCCAATTTGACAGTTGCAACACTGGGGAAAGATTATGGATGTTTTCCATTTGGTGACACAAATCTAAAGTGTCTGTTAATTCTGTTTAGCTACACTAGTTCAGAGTTTATCTTATTCATTCTAATATTACCCAGTTTGGCAATTATAATACTGGAAAAGGATTATAGATGCTTTCCATTTAGTGACACAAATTGACACAAATCTAAAGTTTATTAATTCATTTATTTAGTTACACTAGTTCATAGTTTATCTTTTTTCTTCCAATTACCCAGTTATAACACTAGAAAAGGATTATGGATGCTTTCCATTTGGTGACACAAATTGACACAAATCTAGAGTCTGTTAATTCTGTTTAGCTACACTAGTAGTTCAGGGTTTATTTTTTTTCTAATATAAAATAAAAAACATAAACTCTGAACTATTCCAATGTCGCGCGAATCATTATTATCTAGTTTGACAATTGCAACACTAGAGTAGAATTATGGATTCCTTCCATTTATAGTGACACAAGTCGATACAAATCTAAAGTTCTGTTCTTTTTAGCTATACTAGTTCAGAGTTTATCTTTTTATTTTATATTGGAAGGATAAAGATAAACTTTGAACTATTCCTACGTCGCGCGAATCATTATTATCCAGTTTGACAATTGCAACACTATAGGGAAAGATTATAGATGCTTTGCGTTTAATGACACAAGTCGATATAAATCTAAAGCTTGCTCTTTTGAACTATACTAGATCAGAATTTATCTTTTTCCTTCCGATATAAAAATAAAAAGATAAATTCTGAACTAGCACAGCTAAAAAGTAAAAACCTTAAGACTAAATGGGAAACACTCTATAGCTCCCGTAGAGACCATAAGAACGTCCCAAAGAAGGAGTGGAGATATTACAAATTTCTCGACTATTGAAGCTCTCTCCGAGAGGCGAGATTATTCTCGGTATACATCGAAGCGTGAAAAATTATCGCGCTTTATTTACTTTATACATAACACTCCTTGATAACCTGATTTAAATTAACTGTTGACTGACTCGTTGAATTTCTAGGGAAACGCGAAATTTTCAAGCGTCGAAATTTTTTGCGTAATTTATATAGGCAAATACAGGTTTTTCCGTCAAAATGTGGATAGTAAAACGCAGTTGCACGACAGCGCGTATATTTAATAACGGCCAATAGCACGCCTTGCATCCGGCTGGCGTCTCGAAGTGTGTCAGCGGGACATTGACTTCCGAAATGCATGCCACGCATTAGAGCGTGGCTGAGAGACGCGACTGGAAAGACATTCCTGTCTAATTGGCATGGACGATTGGTAAAGCGATCGTGATCAGATGCTAAATAATGCGATTACTAAAACGACCTGTCAAATATTGAGCAGTGTCGAAAGAAATCGTGCACGTTCTGAGTTTTTTTGCAATATAGATTTTCAACATGCATTTTTACGTTTTTTTGTACGCGGTATACTTCTGCATTTATCCTTTAACATCGATCTTTGGCTTAATGCTCGAAAGATCGCTTATTTTGAAAGCATTGTGTATAAAATTGCCAGACATATATTTATAGAAATAGAAAGCAAGCTTTGTAAGACAGCTTCTAACAAGTATGCAATTTGAAGCTTGTAAATATTCAAATAACACTGTTCTAAATTCGTTATTTTGAAAGACACAAAAATATGTGAAATGTTATAGTTCTAGAAAATAAAATTATTATTGAAGTCAATTCGAATTTTCAAACACATTTAATATTTGAATACATAATTTTTAAATACATATTTAATCCATTTTAAGTACATATTTCTGTGTGCTATTTATAAAGCGCTTCTCTCAATGTTTCGTCGAGTAATCTTCATAAAATTGGAATGTCTCTTCTCGCCTTATATTCGCGCCAATTCGCCCGATATTTTTAATTTCTCATTAATTGCAAAAATCGCGAAATGATAGAGAATTTTTCTACTAAATTTAATTTACTCAACCTGTATTACAAGATATCGCGCAATTATTATTTACTGGACACCCTGCATATTTGTGATTTTATTCCTCGATTAATTCGAACAAATTAATTTACATTATTGTGGATGCGCATATAAAATAAAAAATATAGAGAGAGCATATTGAGCGCCAAAATTGATTCCATTAAAATATCAGTGAAATGTATAACGCATAAATGCATAAATATGCATAATTTATATAAATCAATTCCATTGTATTTTGTGTATATTTCTGTATAATTTGGAGCAACACAGAAATGACTTTTATGCAAAAATAGAGAAATGTATATGCATGATACATATGTATACATTTAAAAAAACTTATATAAAAAAAGGATATTATGAAAACAAACATAAGAGTACGCAATTTCTTCCGAGTTGATCGTAATAAATAAAAAAAAAATATATTTCAAGCTTGATTGTAAATCATGAATAATGACCAAAAATTTTAAAGAAACCTATTTTTAATTTGTTCTAAAAAGCATTTAAAAGAGGAACAGATTTTAATATGAATGACTGTAAAATGAGATGCAAATTTCACAGTCACGAAATTTAGAATACACTCTCACTTTTGACTCTTCCGTATAAGTAAAATATAATATACGATGATTAAATACATCCACAATCTTAATTTCAATATGATATAATAAATAACAATCAGCATACAAAATATGTATAGGATAATTTCGAGAGAACAGATCATCGCGCATCCTTTTCGATCAATCGAGAACTGTATAAAAACAATTCCTCATTTCTACGATGATAGATTCAAGACACGACACGAGTATGCGGTCCCAACACGCGTGCAATAAAAAAGAATTTATCGTCTTATCTACACGTCAGTAAACGTGTCTGTATAAACGCTGTTATTCGCGCTCTGAAGGTTCGACCGATCGAGATTCGATAAGCGTTCTAGAATTTCTTCCGCAGAAGACACATCTCGTACATCAAAATATTTTTCCAGATAGAATTTTTGCTCACCTAACAACACCTTCCGCAACCTTGTCGGACATTCGAGAAGAAACGATATCGACCAGGAAGAAGAAGAGACACGAGACGGGATCGGCTTCCTCCTTCTAAGATTAACGGACGACTAACGAAACATGCACTGAGCGCATCTGAAACTAACTCAAGTTCCTTATACCTGTCTACTTAGGTGGAGAACGCAATGTTTTCTCCCACTACCGAAACCGATCCCGCCGCGCCTCATCCCGCGAGATGCCTCCTTTCTGTCACATATACACTTTACCCTACCACGGAAACACAGGTGGACGCCTTCTAATTTTTTATGTAGAAAAATGTCAAATCATCATCATCAGATGAGCGCGCAAAATATGATCCTAAGGTGAACATACGAAATCTAGCGGTTATGGTGCGGTATCTTAAATGTCTTTGAAGTTAGATAAACTATAAATCTATTTATTGGATTGTTTTTACCTGAAATTAGAACGCTTCACCCTTTGTTAATATTAATACTTTAATTTGTGCAGGAAAAAGATTTATCAATCTGTATATATAGTCTCATATGTCTTGATTACAGAGTTATGAATTCTAAGCATTTATATTATTCATGTATATATATATATATATATATATATATATAGATCGAATTATTGAATTAATTTTAATTTTAATGTCGAAAAATATTTAGATAATTTTATAATTAAATAATTATATATTTAATAATTTGAGTAGGGTAGACCGGGGCTAGTTGAGCCACTTTTTGTTTAAAGTCATATAAATATTTATCTATTTATAGTATAAAAATGAAGATTATATCAAATGAAAGGCTTGACATGTGAGCTCCTAATTATAAACAAAAAAATTTTAAATATGTAATCACAACAAAGGAGAAACCTCAAATGACGGCATAACAAGTGGCTCAACGTGTCCCATTATAGTGGGGTAAGTTGGTCAATGAGCTGAAAAACTGAAATTAGATAGGAAATCATTGAAAAATAATTATATTATTAAATAATTTTAATGAAATTAAATTCTCTTTACATTATTATAATATGTGACTTAAATTTTTCCATATATCTGGATAAAGTCATTCTTGGAATATGAAGCTCATCAGCTGTTGCTCTTATACTCTTTCCTTCTTTTAAAATGGCAGTTTGCAGCTGTTTGAAGTTGTTCCTGTGTTGTAGAAGCTCTATTTGTCTTTCGCTTATATGTACGCATTCTAAAATAAATAAACAGCAAAATTAATATTTAAATTAATATTACATTATTTAACTATGTATGTGAGGTAAGTTGGGCCACTGTCACAACGTCTATGAATTTTTCAATATATATCCTTATAACTAGCATATTGTTTAAAAATATGCAATTTGTACAATAGCCTCAAATAATATAATAATGACAAATATTAAAATTACTTACTTCAATTTTTTCTACCCTCTCGTTAACGTTTGAGACCAAAACTCAGTAACGACAAAAAGTTTACAAACAAGGTATAAAAACACCCCAGCAAACACCGATATATAATTGTTACATTGCTATAATAAAACGGAATATAACAGGTAATATAACGTGTACGTTACATGTAACATCCATGTTAGTTGTAATTTCCCACTCATAGATGTAACATTTTAATATAACATATATTACATTGTAATTATATACCAAATAGCACATTGATGTATTGATAAGTCAGTGCTATCTTGGGATATAATAACAATATAATTACAATGTAATATATGTAATATTAAAAATGTTACATCTATGAGTGGGAAATTACAACTAACATATACGTTACATGTAACATGCTCAAGTATATAACATTTATATACTGTGTTTGCTGGGACATATGTCGTGTATCCGTCCGTCTCGAGTGACTGAACGCGACTAAACTCGGTGCGCGATATCATTGTTATAAAACGCTCTTGCACGTGCAAGCGTTCCTGTACTTTGTTTTTGAATAACAGCCATTGACCTACTTGCCCCATGGCTCAACTAGCCCCGGTCTACCCTAATAATTTGTAAATTTTCATAGTGCTCGGAATTAGTTGCTCTTTTCGAGCCGATTTCGCGAGCGACGTCGCGGGTTCTCCTACTACCGTCGAGGCTCGATGGTAGTGGAAAGACCTGCTCGCGAAATTGGCTCGAAAAGAGCAACTAATTCCGAGCACTGTTTTACATCATAAATCTTTTTTTTTTTTTTTTAGTTGTTTTAGGATTTGGGGTTCTTGACGTCAATGGATATTATAATAATTTGTATCTCAATAGAAATAACTTCGCGATAAAATCTTTGAGGATACATTGCGAGATAAAAGAGCAATTTTTATGTTTCTTTCTTCTTTTCATTTAAAAATGTGAAAGAAAAAAATTCTTTCTTTCTCATCATGTAATAACATGAAAAATTGATATTATAATTAATGCGATTTATTATTACAGTTAATGTGTTACGCCAAATTCAATCATGTATAATAAAATTATGTTGCGGAAATTAATTCTTGAGAAATAAAATAAAGATGTACCCACTACACTTATTTATTGTTCGCTAATTCATAATGACACTTATCGTTTTTTCTTTTCCTTTATAAGTAATTATCCTTTCTTTCTCGCAATACATATTAAATATGCTAAATATTAATAATATTTATAGTCTAGTTACATAATATTTTTATAATAAAGACGCACGCTTACTATTTATTTCCTGTCTCATATTGACTTATCCTTTTTTTCTTTTTTGTTCATAAGTTCTCTAATAATATTATTCCAATATTACAAGATGTTTATTCTATATATTTATATTATTATGATATAATATAATGTATGTAATTTAGAAATATTATTTATATAACTAGACTGTAAATATTATTAATATTTAGCATATTTTTAATATGTATTGCGAGAACTTATGAACAAAAAAGAAAAAAAAAGATGTTAGTATGATAGGAAATAAATATAGTAAGCATGCGTTTTTATTATAAAATTGTATATTGTGTATCAAGTGCGGAAAGTTGACAAATGGTCACGAGTGCGGAGGATGGACGCACGAGCCGAAGGCGAGTTTACATTTTTTTTTTCCAAAATATTTAAAAAATATTGAGTGGTGAGGATATTTTGAAAAATTTTATCATTTTTTAAAAATCCAAGTACGCCATTGTAAAGTACATTTGAATAAGCCATAAAACTTTTTGTTTAATCACTGAAATCTTTTATATTTCTATTTGTTTTGATGTTTTTCTAGCAGTTGGTTGCATCTCTAAATCCAATTTTTTAGCACCAATAAAAATGATTTTGTTATTAAGACCTCTAATTACTCTAAAATTATGTTAAGTTTTAGATTTTTTGAATTTTGCCGAACGTTCCTTATTGTAAGTTAAGTTAAAGTTAATAGCTTATAAAATTATTTTAGTTACGTTAGAAATTTAGTTAAGGTAAAATTAACTTATGTTAAATTAAAAGTTAATTTTTAAAAAGATATTATTTATATTATATTAAAAAAATGTCATAACTTTAAAATTCATAAATTTAATATTTTATTTGTGAATTTTTAAAATTTATGTAAAATAAATAAGGAAATAACAAAAAAATTTTTTTTTATATAGAATGTATTTTTTCTTTGTAATTAGAATTATGAAAAAATTAAAACTAATAGCACTTTATTTATTTCATAATTCTTGTAAGAATGATATACATTATAGAATAATGCTTTTATTAAAATTTAATTGTTATTAAAAGTTTAATTGTTAAATTAAAATTTTATAAAAAAATAATGGCATTTATTAGAGATGAACACAAATTTTTAACTTAGAAAAAATTAATAAGTTTAAAAATAAACTAGCTTAAATTAAAAATAACTAAAGTTATTAACTTTTTAATTTAATTTTTAACTATTGTCAGTAATGTATAGTAATAACTGAATGATAGTTTATTCAAATTATTATTATGCAGCATAGTTGCGATATAATTAAATAATAAATTTGTGAAATATATTAGTATCATTAATTCAATTTTACGAAGAAATACAGTTACAAATTGTGCAAATTAAGTCTTCCGAGTCCTCACCGTGACCATGTCAAATTGTGACGTCAGAAACGAGAAAGTACACGTTGAAAATTTTTGCATGCTATTTTTAGATAAAAAGATATTTTGAAACACAACTTCAAATGTTATTATCATATTTTTTAAATCCTTCAAAAATCCTTTTCTCGTTACCATCAATCAACAGTTGTAAAATGACTATGAAATTAAAGTCTGAAGTTTCAATTTTACGGTTGTTGATTGACTGTCAAGGAAAAAAAATAGTTTTTAAAGTATTTTAAAAGTGTGTGTTAAAACCATCTGAAGTTGTGCTTCGTCAAAATATTTTTTATCTAAGAATGATATGCAAAAATTTTCAGCGCATGCTTTCTCGCCTCTGACGTCACAATCTAACATGGCGGCGAGCATCAAGAAGCCTAGGCCTTAAATTACAAATTTATATACATGTGAGAAACAGAAATAAGTGCTTTAACAACTGAATTACCATATAATAGTTAATCAAGATTTAGTATATTTATTAACTAGGAACAAAGAGTATATTTGCCTTTATCTATTTTAATTATATTAAATTCCCTTATAGAAATTTATCACTAGTAACGCGCGCGCGCGCGCGCCAATTTATCACTTCGCGTACTTAATCACTTATTTCGAGTACTTAAATTACTATATATCAGTATTTTAAGTACTCAAAATAAGTGATTAATTAGTGTTACTAGTGATAGATTTATTCAAGGGAACACTATAATGATAATGAGCAGTAATCGCAAATTAAATATGCAAATAGTACATTGCTTTCTTTTTTTTTTTCATATAATTCGAGAAAAATTCATACACTTCTTCTCTGTTGATATACCATCATAATTCAATAGAGTGTATGCATCTGTTACGTTTGATGTATGATTATGGTTAGCAGATATATTTTGTAACTTTTTAACATTCGTGTTAAAGATTTGACACGCATGCTTCATAATTTTTGTATTCTAGACGTTACTAAACCCGCGTTATGCAAACGTTGGCGTTGTGCTGAGAATACGGCCACTAGAATTTTATTGTATTAAGACACCATAATTAAATTCTTAACACATTAATTTGTGTTACATAAAATCACGCTAACGTCATATATTCTTTTTTAAATGTCACTTGTGCACACTATTAGATTTGTAATAAGTCCTATATATGTTTTTATTTACTATTTTGTTTATTTAGATTTTTCTTTTTTTTTTAAATAAGCACATCAATAAGAAAAATTTATATTATAAATAATTACAGATATATTAGATTTTATGGCCAATTGGAGAAGATTTTTTTCCC